AGGTGCCCCACCACCAGCCGAGAAACTTTCCCCAAAACGGTCCCCGTTGCATTCACGTTTAAGGCCCGTAAAGCCCCCTAGACTCGTAAAATATCCGTAAAATCGCCTTTGTACGGACAAAAAAGTGGTGCTATGGTAAAAATGGGTATCAATCGAAAGCTCTCGTTTACCCAGACACAGTCCTGCAGGAAAATTCCACTTTTTCCCCATAGGAAAGTTTTTACGGGAAAATCAAAATTTTGGGTCAATGGGGGGTCCCCCCCGATTTCGTTCAAAATCGGCACACAGGTGCCCCACCACCAGCCGAGAAACTTTCCCCAAAACGGTCCCCGTTGCATTGACGTTTAAGGCCCTTAAAGCCCCGTAAACTCGTAAAAAATCCGTAAATTCGCCCTTGTACGGCCAAAAACGGGGCGCTAGGGTAAAAATGGGTATCAATCGAAAGCTCTCGTTTACCCAGACACAGTCCTGCAGGAAAATTCCACTTTTTCCCCATAGGAAAGTTTTTACGGGAAAATCAAAATTTTGGGTCAATGGGGGGTCCTCCCCGATTTCGTTCAAAATCGGCACACAGGTGCCCCACCACCAGCCGAGAAACTTTCCCCAAAACGGTCCCCGTTGCATTGACGTTTAAGGCCCTTAAAGCCCCGTAAACTCGTAAAAAATCCGTAAATTCGCCCTTGTACGGCCAAAAACGGGGCGTTAGGGTAAAAATGGGTATCAATCGAAAGCTCTCGTTTACCCAGACACAGTCCTGCAGGAAAATTCCACTTTTTCCCCATAGGAAAGTTTTTACGGGAAAATCAAAATTTCGGGTCAATGGGGGTTCCCCCCGATTTCGTTCAAAATCGGCACACAGGTGCCCCACCACCAGCCGAGAAACTTTCCCCAAAACGGTCCCCGTTGCATTGACGTTTAAGGCCCTTAAAGCCCCGTAAACTCGTAAAAAATCCGTAAATTCGCCCTTGTACGGCCAAAAACGGGGCGCTAGGGTAAAAATGGGTATCAATCGAAAGCTCTCGTTTACCCAGACGCAGTCCTGCAGGAAAATTCCACTTTTTCCCCATAGGAAAGTTTTTACGGGAAAATCAAAATTTCGGGTCAATGGGGGGTCCCCCCCCCGATTTCGTTCAAAATCGGCACACAGGTGCCCCACCACCAGCCGAGAAACTTTCCCCAAAACGGTCCCCGTTGCATTGACGTTTAAGGCCCGTAAAGCCCCCTAGACTCGTAAAATATCCGTAAAATCGCCTTTGTACGGACAAAAAAGTGGTGCTATGGTAAAAATGGGTATCAATCGAAAGCTCTCGTTTACCCAGACACAGTCCTGCAGGAAAATTCCACTTTTTCCCATAGGAAAGTTTTTACGGGAAAATCAAAATTTTGGGTCAATGGGGGGTCCCCCCCGATTTCGTTCAAAATCGGCACACAGGTGCCCCACCACCAGCCGAGAAACTTTCCCCAAAACGGTCCCCGTTGCATTGACGTTTAAGGCCCGTAAAGCCCCCTAGACTCGTAAAATATCCGTAAAATCGCCTTTGTACGGACAAAAAAGTGGTGCTATGGTAAAAATGGGTATCAATCGAAAGCTCTCGTTTACCCAGACACAGTCCTGCAGGAAAATTCCACTTTTTTCCCATAGGAAAGTTTTTACGGGAAAATCAAAATTTTGGGTCAATGGGGGTCCCCCCCGATTTCGTTCAAAATCGGCACACAGGTGCCTCACCACCAGCCGAGAAACTTTCCCCAAAACGGTCCCCGTTGCATTGACGTTTAAGGCCCTTAAAGCCCCGTAAACTCGTAAAAAATCCGTAAATTCGCCCTTGTACGGCCAAAAACGGGGCGCTAGGGTAAAAATGGGTATCAATCGAAAGCTCTCGTTTACCCAGACACAGTCCTGTAGGAAAATTCCACTTTTTCCCCATAGGAAAGTTTTTACGGGAAAATCAAAATTTCGGGTCAATGGGGGGTCCCCCCCGATTTCGTTCAAAATCGGCACACAGGTGCCCCACCACCAGCCGAGAAACTTTCCCCAAAACGGTCCCCGTTGCATTGACGTTTAAGGCCCTTAAAGCCCCGTAAACTCGTAAAAAATCCGTAAATTCGCCCTTGTACGGCCAAAAACGGGGCGCTAGGGTAAAAATGGGTATCAATCGAAAGCTCTCGTTTACCCAGACACAGTCCTGCAGGAAAATTCCACTTTTTCCCCATAGGAAAGTTTTTACGGGAAAATCAAAATTTCGGGTCAATGGGGGGTCCCCCCCGATTTCGTTCAAAATCGGCACACAGGTGCCCCACCACCAGCCGAGAAACTTTCCCCAAAACGGTCCCCGTTGCATTGACGTTTAAGGCCCTTAAAGCCCCGTAAACTCGTAAAAAATCCGTAAATTCGCCCTTGTACGGCCAAAAACGGGGCGCTAGGGTAAAAATGGGTATCAATCGAAAGCTCTCGTTTACCCAGACACAGTCCTGCAGGAAAATTCCACTTTTTCCCCATAGGAAAGTTTTTACGGGAAAATCAAAATTTCGGGTCAATGGGGGGTCCCCCCCGATTTCGTTCAAAATCGGCACACAGGTGCCCCACCACCAGCCGAGAAACTTTCCCCAAAACGGTCCCCGTTGCATTGACGTTTAAGGCCCTTAAAGCCCCGTAAACTCGTAAAAATCCGTAAATTCGCCCTTGTACGGCCAAAAACGGGGCGCTAGGGTAAAAATGGGTATCAATCGAAAGCTCTCGTTTACCCAGACACAGTCCTGCAGGAAAATTCCACTTTTTCCCCATAGGAAAGTTTTTACGGGAAAATCAAAATTTCGGGTCAATGGGGGGTCCCCCCCGATTTCGTTCAAAATCAGCACACAGGTGCCCCACCACCAGCCGAGAAACTTTCCCCAAAACGGTCCCCGTTGCATTGACGTTTAAGGCCCGTAAAGCCCCCTAGACTCGTAAAATATCCGTAAAATCGCCTTTGTACGGACAAAAAAGTGGTGCTATGGTAAAAATGGGTATCAATCGAAAGCTCTCGTTTACCCAGACACAGTCCTGCAGGAAAATTCCACTTTTTTCCCATAGGAAAGTTTTTACGGGAAAATCAAAATTTTGGGTCAATGGGGGGTCCCCCCCGATTTCGTTCAAAATCGGCACACAGGTGCCCCACCACCAGCCGAGAAACTTTCCCCAAAACGGTCCCCGTTGCATTGACGTTTAAGGCCCTTAAAGCCCCGTAAACTCGTAAAAAATCCGTAAATTCGCCCTTGTACGGCCAAAAACGGGGCGCTAGGGTAAAAATGGGTATCAATCGAAAGCTCTCGTTTACCCAGACACAGTCCTGCAGGAAAATTTCACTTTTTCCCCATAGGAAAGTTTTTATTTTCCCGTAAAAACTTTCCTATGGGGAAAAAGTGAAATTTTCCTGCAGGACTGTGTCTGGGTAAACGAGAGCTTTCGATTGATACCCATTTTTACCATAGCACCACTTTTTTGTCCGTACAAAGGCGATTTTACGGATATTTTACGAGTCTAGGGGGCTTTACGGGCCTTAAACGTCAATGCAACGGGGACCGTTTTGGGGAAAGTTTCTCGGCTGGTGGTGGGGCACCTGTGTGCCGATTTAAAACGAAATCGGGGGGGGACCCCCCATTGACCCGAAATTTTGATTTTCCCTTAAAAACTTTCCTATGGGGAAAAAGTGGAATTTTCCTGCAGGACTGTGTCTGGGTAAACGAGAGCTTTCGATTGATACCCATTTTTACCCTAGCGCCCCGTTTTTGGCCGTACAAGGGCGAATTTACGGATTTTTTACGAGTTTACGGGGCTTTAAGGGCCTTAAACGTCAATGCAACGGGGACCGTTTTGGGGAAAGTTTCTCGGCTGGTGGTGGGGCACCTGTGTGCCGATTTTGAACGAAATCGGGGGGACCCCCCATTGACCCGAAATTTTGATTTTCCCGTAAAAACTTTCCTATGGGGAAAAAGTGGAATTTTCCTGCAGGACTGTGTCTGGGTAAACGAGAGCTTTCGATTGATACCCATTTTTACCCTAGCGCCCCGTTTTTGGCCGTACAAGGGCGAATCTACGGATTTTTTACGAGTTTACGGGGCTTTAAGGGCCTTAAACGTCAATGCAACGGGGACCGTTTTGGGGAAAGTTTCTCGGCTGGTGGTGGGGCACCTGTGTGCCGATTTTGAACGAAATCGGGGGGGACCCCCCATTGACCCAAAATTTTGATTTTCCCGTAAAAACTTTCCTATGGGAAAAAAGTGGAATTTTCCTGCAGGACTGTGTCTGGGTAAACGAGAGCTTTCGATTGATACCCATTTTTACCATAGCACCACTTTTTTGTCCGTACAAAGGCGATTTTACGGATATTTTACGAGTCTAGGGGGCTTTACGGGCCTTAAACGTCAATGCAACGGGGACCGTTTTGGGGAAAGTTTCTCGGCTGGTGGTGGGGCACCTGTGTGCCGATTTTGAACGAAATCGGGGGGACCCCCCCATTGACCCAAAATTTTGATTTTCCCGTAAAAACTTTCCTATGGGGAAAAAGTGGAATTTTTCTGCAGGACTGTGTCTGGGTAAACGAGAGCTTTCGATTGATACCCATTTTTACCATAGCGCCCCGTTTTTGGCCGTACAAGGGCGAATTTACGGATTTTTTACGAGTTTACGGGGCTTTAAGGGCCTTAAACGTCAATGCAACGGGGACCGTTTTGGGGAAAGTTTCTCGGCTGGTGGTGGGGCACCTGTGTGCCGATTTTGAACGAAATCGGGGGGGACCCCCCATTGACCCAAAATTTTGATTTTCCCGTAAAAACTTTCCTATGGGAAAAAAGTGGAATTTTCCTGCGGGACTGTGTCTGGGTAAACGAGAGCTTTCGATTGATACCCATTTTTACCTCTTTGTGACGTCATTTCTAGGGGAAAACGGGTCATAAAGGTTTCCCTCTACCGGGGCCTTTTTTCCCCCTACCGAATCTGTGCTGTGCTGAATCTGTGCTGAATCTGTGCCAACTTCCGTTACATTGGGAGGGTCCCTTTAAGAAGAAGTTGATAGGCAGCTAATTTTGTTGAAGTAAGTCTTTTCAAGCTCATAGCTGGTAAATGAACATTCGTACTGGCTCAACCCTGGTGACTCTCTACCGCTCTAGGGTGTCTGCCCAGACCAATGTCTCCCCTAATTCCTTTCACCCTTCCGGATCTGAAATGGTCTTGTCAAAGTTCAAACCGAAAGGGCCTAACTCAACAAAACAAAACAAACAAATCTATCAATTTCCTTATTAGTGCCGCCATCTGGGTTTGATTCCTGGGCAATGCACGCGGCATTGCAGCTGCCTGACTGCTTGGAACAGCGTGAGAGTTCTGTTAGCACTTGGTCCACCGGAGCGCTGTTCGGCGGCCGGCTAGCGCGCTAGCCCGCGCACACATACGTGCACGTTGCCCCGGCAACGGGCTATTGACCAATGAGAAGCGCACTACGGGGGGCACAGGTATATGAAAAATCGCAGTGACGTTGCACTTTCCTCGCTTCTCATTGGTCAATAGCCCATTGCCGGGGCAACCAGCACGTATGTCATGTGAGCACCGGCAAGAGTACTAGCCGGCCGCTGATCAGAGCCCGGATATGGTGCTTAACCCAAAACCAACCAGCCATCTATTAGTGCCATTTTATGCGTTTAGGTCCATCTACTACCTACGACCTACCGTGTTCATATAAATATATTAATGGCAATCATGTGGTGCCACCTGGTCAGCCAGGTGGCGCAACACAATGCTGACCAGGTAACGCCAAGGCCTGATATGCTGATGTGGTGATATCCTCATCATTGGGTATGTTAACTGTTAAGCCTGAAACAGATTTGAGTGGTCAGGACATTGTATGCTAGAGCCTATTCAAATACATGAAACATGCTGTGATCAATCGCATGCACCTCCCGCATGTGATTGATGCTGGAAGAATTATGATGCATTTAAATAGGCTCTTGCATGCGATTTCCTGAATGCAAAAGTCTGTTTCAGCCTTTAATCAATTTAATGTGTTCACTCTTTTCAGGCTTACATTGCAAGCTGGAGCTTTGTTTTAGAGTCATTATAGGTATCATTTTCTGATGGTGGGCATTAAAATGGAGCCCCAATTCCAGCCAAGCTGGATGCTTGATCCAGAGTTTAAGAGTTGGCTGCAACCAGATCCTGCATCCACAAAGTTTGGTATATGCTCGATTTGTGATGTGCGTGTGAAGGCTAGTCTGCAACAACTGCGCACTCACTCGACAAGAAACCACTTGGAGATGGCTCGAGCTGTCCGCAGACCACGTGAGCAGGTGCTCAAGTACGACCCCAGGTGGCAGACAATGTCTGATCTGAGTGACTGGATGTGCCGCTCTCCACACAATCCCAACAATGCTTTCTGTGTGTGCTGCAATCAGGAGTTAGTGCCAAAGCTTTTGAACCTCAGACAGCATGGAACCAGCCAGCGTCACCGGCGGCTCAGTCAACGACCTGTAGAGCATGTGGGCGCTACTGATGAAGCTCCTAGTGGTGTGCTCGGCCGTACCAGCACTGGCAAACAGTCTCGTGCACAGACCATCGAGCTGTGGCGGCAGCGGCCTGGCATGGCCGCCTGGCTGCGCCGCTCTGCCGCCGACTGGCGAAAGGCGTTCTGCCTCTACTGTTACCGCGAGATCACGGCCAAATGGGTGTTTGTTCAAAGGCACGCGCAGAGTCGGAGGCACGCGCGGCTGGCCGCCGCCGCCGGTCTGGTGAGCGAGCCTGAGCCGGCACCGCTGGACTCTGCGGGGCTCTGCAACGCCGACCAGGGAACAGAGGAGACCGGCGGGCGGGAGACTGGTGGGAGTGACGCTGGAGACGACCAGAGTGACACAGCTGGCTTGGTCCCTGCCCAACACATGCCAGAGAGTGACCATTCCCCGTTGGTTCGACCTCACCCAGATAGTGACGGGACATCATTAGTCCTACTCGACCCAGAGAGCGAGGGGTCCCCTTTGGTTCAGATCCATACAAAGAACGACCGATCCCCGTTGGTCCAATTCGACCGGGAGGGTGACGTTCCCCTGGTGGTTTTATATCGCCCAGAGAATGACGGACTCCCTGTGACGGCTGACCGCGCTCAGTGCCAGTCCGACCCTGAGACTGAGCTAGTTCCCGACACCGCCGTCGTCCCTCCATCCTCGGACACCGGTGGTGCTGATGGGGACGGCAATACCTCCACGGCGCCCCGCCGATGGGTGAACCACGCCAAGTACAACCCCTCGTGGGAGCAGCGACCCGAGCTGGCCGGCTGGCTGTGCCGCAGCTCTGCCAGACCTCGCTACGCCCATTGTCTGGTGTGTAGCCGTGATATACAGCCTAAATTAGCTCACGTGCGGAGACACGGCGCCTCTCGGCGACACATCCGAAACGCGACAAAGGCAGAAGAAGTGCGAGTCGAGTTTCGGCCTCCGGGCAGCGAGAATGAGGGCGGAACCACCACCGCGGAGGCCGAATCTGAAACAGAAGAGACTGTGTGCGGGACCGGAGATGGACTCCCTGTGACGGCTGACCGCGCTCAGTGCCAGTCCGACCCTGAGACTGAGCTAGTTCCCGACACCGCCATCGTCCCTCCGTCAGCTCCGACGCCCTCAAAGTCCAATGGTGGTGATGGGGACGGCAATACCTCCCATACGCCCCGCCGCTGGGTGAACCACGCCAAGTACAACCCCTCGTGGGAGCAGCGACCCGAGCTGGCCGGCTGGCTGTGTCGCAGCTCCGCCAGACCTCGCTACGCCCATTGTCTGGTGTGTAGCCGTGATATACAGCCTAAATTAGCTCACGTGCGGAGACACGGCGCCTCTCGGCGACACATCCGAAACGCGACAAAGGCAGAAGAAGTGCGAGTCGAGTTTCAGCCTCCGGGCAGCGAGAAGGAGGGCGGAACGGCCACCGCGGAGGCTGAATCTGAAACAGGAGAGACTGTGTGCGGGACCGGAGATGGACTCCCTGTGACGGCTGACCGTTCTCAGTGCCAGTCCGATCCTGAGACTGAGCTAGTTCCCGACACCGCCATCGTCCCTCCGTCAGCTCCGACGCCCCCAAAGTCCAATGGTGGTGATGGGGACGGCAATACCTCCCATGCGCCCCGCCGCTGGGTGAACCACGCCAAGTACAACCCCTCGTGGGAGCAGCGACCCGAGCTGGCCGGCTGGCTGTGCCGCAGCTCCGACAGACCTCGCTACGCCCATTGTCTGGTGTGTAGCCGTGATATACAGCCTAAATTAGCTCACGTGCGGAGACACGGCGCCTCTCGGCGACACATCCGAAACGTGACAAAGGCAGAAGTGCGAGTCGAGTTTCAGCCTCCGGGCAGCGAGAAGGAGGGCGGAACGGCCACCGCGGAGGCCGAATCTGAAACAGAAGAGACTGTGTGCGGGACCGGAGATGGTGCCGGGGAAATGGCAGACGCTGCTGGCGAGGACGGACCGGCGGCCGATGACCAGCGCGACTGCAGCGCTGACGGTCCTCAGGAGGAGGTCGGCGGGCGACCGGCGCCGGCCCGCCGCCGGCTCACCTACCTCTCCAACTGGGAGTCGGTGCCGGAGCTGCGCGCCTGGCTGCGCCGCTCGCCCTGGGACAGACGCCGCCCGTTCTGCCGCTGGTGTCGGCGCGAGGTGACGGCTAAACTGGCGCACCTGCGGCGTCACGCGCGCTGCAGTCTGCACCGCCGCGCGCGGCCGCCGTCGGGTTACTCCGGCGTACGGTCAGTGGAGGTTGGTGGGAAGAAGAGGCAGGTGCTGACAAGGGAGCGGGCAGACGCACCTGAGGAAGCAGCAGCTGACGGTGGCACAGACGCGGTGATCGAGGGCCCGGTAAGTAGACATTTGGCTAATGCTGCACCTTGGGTACAAAGTGCTGTCAAATCACGTTGGTACGCCGTGTTTTCTTGTACAAAAATTTGAATTTTAGTGTTTTCAGTTTTATCATAGAAATGGCATGGACTTTGGGCTTTGAACTTTGTTTAGCACGGCACGACACATTTACATCTAGATAACTATTCAAATATGAGCACTTGGTGATGAAGTTGTCCACCTGAAAGACTGCATTCGCTCACAGCAATAGGGTCTGTTTCGCACACCTGACTGCACTGTGACTTAGTCTGGCCTAACCAATGAGGCATTTTTTAAGTAAAAGTAACCAGTGTGATGGGTTGCGCTGAATCTGAGCCGCATAAATGACAAATTGACTCGACCCTAACAAGTAGTCGACACACATTGATGAATTGGTGTTTGACCCATACCTTCATTGTAGTTTTACTTGTCGTAACCTCACCTGACCCACCGTCCGTCACCCGGTATTCACCAACGTCCCTGGCTAGGTCCGTTTATAGTCTGTCGTCATTGTCCCGACTGACCTGTCCGGCCCTGTCCGATCCGACAGAGACAGCGCGCCGAACTGGGTCCGTTCGGCACCTGCGTGGTCTGCAAACACCCGCTGGTGATCCGGCTCAACATTTTCCGCTCCCGCACGCGGCCGTCCGGTCGCCTGGTGGCCGATATGCTCTCCTCACTGGTACTGCAGCCGCTCGAGGAGGTAGGCGGGTGCTCCTCTGTGTCAACCGTCTTGTGATTGTCTAGAGAAAGATCCACTGTGCCTTCATTGAATCGTTTTTTTTTCTGCTTAGGTTTCGTTCCAATTGTTGACATCCTACTACTTAAAAGTCATTAAAAATAGTGGATAAAAGTTTGATATCATCCCACAGCGTTTGTGGCACTTAACTAACGCCTTTGATGCTGTGTAATGTTGTAACCCTTTTCGGGTCCTTTGACAGGGAAGCGGTGATCTTTCCGTCTCCGAGATCTGCACTTCGTGTGCTGCCCTTCTCGATGAGGCCGACGAACTACAAGCCAGGCTCACCGCCATCGAGAAAGACGTGAGAAATGCAGCTGTCATCATTGGAAACTATTAGAGCCCCCTGTCAAGCTAGAGTGGGAGTGTGATTTTTCAGTGATCTACACTCTCCCATTAATGGGTGTGCAATTGGTTTCTGGACAAAGTTCGTGCTGCCATGACGTGTTTGAATTTAGATTAAAACGAAATTTGTTTAGACAACTCAGAAAGGTAAGGTCGCTCGGATTTCCGTTTGTTACGAGCGAGCGAGCGCAGCGAGCGAAGTGAGTCTTTTCAATATAACGGAAAAATCTCAGTATGAGCGGCCCGGCCCGGCCTGTAACGCTTTTGAGAGGCTTATATCTCAGCAGCCGCTGGACCGATTGGCCTGCGGTCTTTTTTGTTCGGTAGCCCAATCCCTTCTACCCCGTAATTGACTACTTTTGATACATCTCAGTGACCGTCGTGGCACGTGCCACGTGAAAAGTCAAGGGTGTTCAAGCTGTTTTGCAAAAGTAGTGATTTTGAGAGGCTCATATCTCAGCAGCCGCTTGGGCGATTGACTTCCGGTAATTTTTGTAGGGTAGCAGCATCTCTTCTACCCAAAATAGGATACTCTCGAAGCATGTGGGTCACCCCCAGTGCACGTGCAAAATACAACAATAAGAGGTGCCAAATTTATTCCCATTTCAGTAACTCGGTAATTACTGGGGCGATTTCGCTGAAACTTCGCATACAGGTAGGCACCCACCAGGCAATGCATTCCCATGTGTTGCGGTTAGGGTGCTACTGCACGTGCGCACGTGCAGGGGGTGTTTGCAGATCTCGAGAATGGCTGGGCCGATTGCGCTCAAATTTGGTACATGGTTGGGGACCAGTTAGTAGGGTGCCGTGCAAAAGTCATTTTGGACCCCGTTTGCACGTGCGCACGTGCAGAATGCCGCTTCCAGATCTCAGGAACGGCTGGGCCGATTGCGTTCAAATTTGGCACACCGCTAGCGACCGGTTAGAAGGGTGCTTTGCACAAGCCCGTTGGAAGTACCCTCTCGCCCTTCCGCACGTGCAGGGCTCACTATCTCGCTCGCTCGTTCTTCGCCCAAAAGGCGTTTTACTGGTATTATAATTGCTAGTTTGCTCAAGGCAAAGCTTTTAACTCACAATGTCACATTCACCTCCAAATGGCCCAAATCAGTGAACATAAGTGATGAAGTCACCACATTTACCCAGAATAAGTTCTTAATTGATAAGCTGACTCTGTGCCCTTCCCTGGCCAGGTGCGGCTGAAGTTCTCGTCTCCCCGTCCCCTGGCGCGGCCGGCCACCCCGCTGTTGAACTCTGCCGACCCTCCGGAGAACGCCGGGACTGAGTTCGTCCCGGCCACAGCCGACCCCACACACGACAGCGAGTCGCCAGCAGCGGAGACGCCGGCGGAGATCGGCGACACCGCGACCGGGCAGCCGGTGGCCTTCATCACTATAGGTGAGTAAGACGGAGGTGGCGGGTGGGCTGGGTACAGGGCGGCGGGTGTCAGGTGATGCCGGGATCGGGTGTTCTCCAACGAAGGCCGAAATATTTGTGTCATCCTCTCCTTTCACGAAGGCCGTGTCACGTCCCGTCTTCTTGTTATGGAATTCCTCGTGGTCCTGACTTCATATGCTCGTCTTTCGCTGTGTGATAAGGTAAGAGACTTGAAATTTGTCAGATTGTTCAGCTGTTGTGTACAGGTCTGCTGTGTGTCACTGGCCAAGGCGCTCTCTCTCAAACATCTGATCTATATAACTGTGGTCACATTGCTAGGAGAGAGCGACCGGGAGATCTCACAGACGGTGGTTCGAACGGAGACTCTGGAGAACGGAGACCTCGTCATCTATCAGGTACGCTCAAACCCAAAGAGTCACAGACGATGTCATAGGGTTGTCTCTGGATAGGCCAGGGTCACTGTTCAGACACTGTGTTTGGTACAGTAGTTCTGAGCCTAGGGTATAGTCAGATATTTATTTATCCTTCATCGCTCTCCCTTGACCGGTCTCCGGCAGGCTGGTCACTTCAGCCCGGACTCGGCCCACAATTTGTCTGCACAGTGCTGGTTTTTATCACAATGCCACAGCTTTGATATTTGTAACCCCTGACTGACAGACTCTTTAATCCTCGTCAGTGCTGTGACCCCTCCCCCCTCCAGGAGCCAGCCGACCTGGTGCAGTCGGAGACGATAGACGCGGTCAGCAACTGCTCCCCCCTGCTGGACGAGGACATGCCGCAGGACGTGGTCGCCGAGGTATGTACGAGCTCACCTAACGTCGGGGATACCTGGTCAGGGGTAGCGAGTTGTTGATTCGACTGATGCTGGTAGATCGTAGCTTTCGCTTGCTGAGTAGTAATGAGTCTACAAATTATTACGAGCGAGCGAGCGCAGCGAGCGAAGTGAGTCTTTTCAATATAACGGAAAAATATCAGTATGAGCGGCCCGGCCCGGCCCGGCCCGGCCCGGCCTGTAACGCTTTTGAGAGGCTTATATCTCAGCAACCGCTAGACCGATTGGCCTGCGGTCTTTTTTGTTGGGTAGCCCCATCCCTTCTACCCTGTAATTGACTACTTTTGATACATCTCAGTGACCGTCGTGGCACGTGCCACGTGAAAAGTCAAGGGTGTTCAAGCTGTTTTGCAAAAGTAGTGATTTTGAGAGGCTCATATCTCAGCAGCCGCTTGAGCGATTGACTTGCGGTAATTTTTGTAGGGTAGCAGCATCCCTTCTACCCAAAATAGGATACTCTCGATGCATGTGGGTCACCCCCAGTGCACGTGCAAAATACAACAATAAGAGGTGCCAAATTTGTTCCCATTTCCGTAACTCGGTAATTACTGGGGCGATTTCGCTGAAACTTGGCATACAGGTAGGCACCCACCAGGCAATGCATTCCCATGTGTTGCGGTTAGGGTGCTACTGCACGTGCGCACGTGCAGGGGGCGTTTCCAGATCTCGAGAACGGCTGGGCCGATTGCGCTCAAATTTGGTACACGGTTGGGGACCAGTTAGTAGGGTGCCGTGCAAAAGTCATTTTGGACCCCGTTTGCACGTGCGCACGTGCAGAATGCCGCTTCCAGATCTCAGGAACGGCTGGGCCGATTGCGTTCAAATTTGGCACACCGCTAGCGACCAGTTAGAAGGGTGCTTTGCGCAAGCCCGTTGGAAGCACCCTCTCGCCCTTCCGCACGTGCAGGGCTCACTATCTCGCTCGCTCGTTCTTCGCCCAAAAGGCGTTTTACTGGTGGTACCTATGGCTATTGTGTGATATGTCCAGTAAATAATCGTTGTTCAGGACTGTGTTTTGGATGCACCGAAGTGTTGTACTCCGACACGGTCAGTCTAATCACCTGCTTGACCCATACCCGCTTCAGCACACCACATTCCTCTGTGTTACCGCTGGCGGTTGTGTGACGCTGATCAATTCGTGTCAGCACACCACTTGCCGAGCTGTGTTACCGCCCGTTGTGTAACGCTGATCCATTCCCCGTCCCCAGCCTCCCTCAGACGACTCTCAGTCGGCGCCGGAGCCGCGTGCCCCGCCGGTCCGGCGGCGGCGGCGGCGGCGGCGCTCCTTTGACTGCGCGCTCTGTCGGAGTAGTTTCCCCACCAGCGCGGCGCTGCAGCGCCACTGGGCCGCCGAGCACCCGCACGAGCTGCAGCAGTGTCCACTCTGTCCCAGACGCTACCTGTACACCTCCAGCCTCAAACAGCACGTGCGTACCCACCAGCCGCGCCGCTACACGTGCGAACAGTGCGGCAAACAGTTCACGGCCGCCTGCGACCTCAAGAAGCACGCCATTTTCGCGCACAGCGACGTGCGGAAACACCAGTGCGGCACGTGCGGCCGGGCGTTCAAACTGGCCTGGATTCTGAGCAGACATATGCGGCTGGTACATGATGTGACGGTGAAGTAGGACTAGCGGCCTACTGAGGCGTATGTGACCGTGCCTTTATACCGGTTTGTGAATGGTGTTGTGTTAACGATGTCGACTCAGGTATGAGTGATCGATATGGTGAGCTTTTAAGGGTTTTGCACTGGCTAAGGCGTGACCTAGTCTTCGTTCCAAGGTTTGTTCCTATGCAAATTAGTGTTTTGCATTTGATGCTGAGAATTAAAATAAAGAATAAAGCCGTTCACAATGCGGACGTACTGTTTGTCCACGTTGAGAAAATGCAACATTTATCTTATCTCAAATTGATCGGTTTCTAAAGACAGCAGAGAGTCGCCGGCACCCGCCAGGCGCTACTTTGATATCGCAAGGCTGTCGATTGAGCTCAAACGAATGTAATTAGCCCGGGTGAATCTAACCCCCAGACTGATTAGTGAAAATCGGCAAGTGTTCGCACATTAGGCTGTCTTTAGAGAAATATAACGTGTCGGGGTCCTCAGAACACCTCACTTGATCCTATGAGACACCTCGTGCTGGCGCTGATCACTGCGCTTGCACCGTGCAATGTCCATTGTGCAAAGCCTTAAAAGCGATGCCGTTCACATCAAAGTGCTATGGCGGCTCGATAGATGGCACTACTGGTAACGCCCGAATCTATACTGTGCCGCAATACCGAATTGAAGACTCTTTGACACTTTTCCTGTGGCCGCAATTCATGTTGTTTTGCCTTCTTTTAGTGTATTTGAACACGGCCATAATTTTTCTCTGCGGTTCTTTGCTATCATTCTGCTTTATGAATAGTACTTTATGGATAATTTTCATTTTTTATTTTGTGATGAACCATTAACAGAATTTAGTAACGGCGATCCTCATGTTCGAGCTGGCGCACTTCATGCGAAAGCAGCGCATTTATTTAACATCCAAGCCCAGCCCAAAGCCCTGCCCATGAGGGAATCAATGTTTTTTAAAGATAGATTTGATAGAAAGTGAACATTTAAATCTTTTCAAAATTCAAATCCATTAAGAGCCAGAGAGATAGGTACGCCATTGCCAGCGAGGGCAGGTTAAAACAAGGTAATCTTGACTACACATGACATAGGTAGGTACCTAACCTACCTCACCTTGACCTACTGGTTAGTTTGGTATTTGATTGGTTATTTTTGGCTTCAAGTCATAAATGAAACGACCATTAGATAGTGTTTTCAGCGGAAGTTACTGGCAAATTAATTGGCTGACGAGCAGCCAATTCCCATCCCTGCCACTGCAACTGGTGGCCGGCTTCTTGGCATTTTTCAGCAAGGGAAAAGTAAGGAATGAGCTGGAACAAAAATGAAATGGCAGCCTAGGGTAATCATTGAGCCTTTAAAGCTCCTGGTTTGTGATAGGCCCAGCTCAAGCTACAAAACTGCTATATCAGTTCAAAAACTGTTATAAGTGGTATGTTTTCTTAAATTGAAATTGTGATTTGTGGATGCAGGAGGAATCAGTGTTGAGCATAGAAATGAAGATGTGATAAAAGTGTACAAAGCTCTAACTTCTAAGTAGGTATTGGTACTGTTCTGAGTTTTGTTGAGTTTGATATGTTGAATAGGTAGCTGTAGGCCCAGGTTCCTGCCAAGAAGATCTTGTTGCATCACTTGCATGATGCCATATGTGTAGTGACCCAGACCCTCTACTTCCAAGCAGCGCGTGGACTTTTTGCAGTTAGTTTTAGCTGATCAAGCTAATTTTTACAGTGTTTTCTCATCTTTCCAGACTGGTCTCTCCTGAGCAGCGGCGATGGCGCTGCGCTGCCTGCTGCTGCGCCCGTCCTGCCACCTGTCGGCGGCGGCGCGAGTCGCGGCTGTTGGCGCCGGCGGTGACCGGCCGGTGGCGCGCCATTTCTCCGTGTCGGCGCGACGGGACGGCGTCGCCGAGGTGCTGCAGAGCGTCGCCTCCTCACGGCCCGTGCTAGCCGTCCAGGAGGGCATCGTCAGCCTGCATGACGTCAGCGGCCTGCCCTGGTGGGCCACCGTGCTGGTGACGACGGTGGCGGCGCGCGGCCTGGTCACCCTACCGCTTGGGCTCTACCAGGTGGGCGGTTGGGCGGTGTACCTGACGGACAGTGCTCAGGATGTAGCGCAGAGCCGACAGGTGTTACTCTTGTGGCCGTTGTGGGTCGTAAAAGGGAACTAGGGGTGTTATCGGGGGTCAAGTAACTCTGCGTATTGGAGAGGTACCTATGACTGTTTTATAAGCCAAGTCCAAATCATAATCATAAGCCGTAATCGCCACGCCATATGTGGAAGGCTTTTGGTGTCAATACATACATACATACATATTTTCTACAAATTAATGGACCGATTGACAGAGCCAATGACCACGCTAAGCAGATCTTATCGCGAAAGCCCCGACCCCTACGGTCCGATCGGGCGAATTCTGATAATCGGTATAGTTATGATCGGGAACATCAATATCAAGTGTATGCATAGTGTAGATCCGTACAATATTTGGGATTTCTCTGAGTGTACAATTTCTTGGTCGTTTATATTTGTCTCAAGTCCGTGGCAATCTTTCAGAGTTACATCCTGGCCAAGTTTGAGAACCTGCGGCCGGAGATGGATGCCGTAGTTGTGGAAATCAAAAAAGAGATGTCTGTCGCTGTTCGGAAGTACCAGTGGGATCAGAAGCGTGCCAAACGCGTCTTCAACAAGGCCGTAAGTGAATAGTATGCGTCGGGGTGTCAGGGTCTAATCACTAATGTGTGTCAGAGGGCGGTGTCCGTTGTCGGGATGTAGGGGGACGGCCGGGTGTCCCAACTCAACCTTGTGTCTGCTTCCTCCTCCCTCATAAAAAGTTCATCCACAATCCACATGCATGCTTCTCTCCCCAGCCCCTCCCATCCACTGTGTCCCCCTCCCTCCCCTCCGTCCGTCTTTAATTCTTCTACCCCGATCCGTTCCCACTCCCAGTCCGTCAGTCTCACCCATCCCTGAAGTTGAAGTTGAAGTGCTTCCGGCCCTTGGCTGGAAGCCATACGGGGGGACGCCTCACAGGCGGCCCAGCCGCCTCAGGAGCTCCACCAGCTTCGTCGGTTCTCCCAGTGCTTCCTTTATCTCCGGCTCGTCCTCTCCGAATATCCTTCGTCTCGCATCTGCCCGGGCGGGGCAGTCGGTCAGGAGGTGAGTTAGTGTCTCATCCTCCAGCCCGCACTCCGGGCAGGTGGGGTCATCTTCCAGGCCAATTCGGTGTCGATACTCCCGCAGCATCAGTGAGTGGCCGGTACGGAGTCTCGCGACCTCCACGCACTCCCGGCGGGAGAGTCCCAGGCGCTCAGCCGTAGGGGGGCGGCGCACTCCGTTCTGCAGGGCGTAGCGGGTCGGTTGCAGCCGCTGTTCCCACTCCCGGTGGGCGTGCCTCCTCAGCCTGGCTTTTGCTGACGGGAGGTCTATCGGCACGTCATGCTGCTCCAGGTTGGCGGCTTCCCGTGCGATCTCGTCGGCCAGCTCGTTGCCGGGGAGCCCGGCGTGGCCGGGAACCCACTGCAGGGACGTGTGCGTCCCGCGGTCGGCTAGGTCCAGCAGCCTGCCAGACTCTGTCCGCCAGGACATCCGTCTGCGCCGCCGGGCCCTCCGCGAGGCGACGCAGGGCCGACTGGGAGTCGGTGCATATTCGTACCTCCCGCGGAGCAGGGCCCTCCGCGCCCCTCAGGAGGGACGCGAGGGCAGAGTCGAGCGCCGTTAGCTCCGCGCGGTAGCTGGAGGTCCAGCGGCCTGCAGGGGTCCGGAATCGGATCCTCTCCAGCTCTGTCGCCCCCCGGAAGACAACGGCTCCCGCCCCGCCATTTTCGACACCGTCTGTGGCCGATCCGTCTGTGAATACGGTGTAGTCGGCTGGCGGGAGTCCCGCCAGGGTCTCTTGTGCCGCCTCCAGCCGCTTGTCCGGTGGGTCCGTTCTCTTTGTCGGTCTCGCGACAGCACTGCTGATGGTGACGCCTCCCGCGGCACTCTCCCACGGCGGCGTCCGTGGGACCACCAGCACCGGCTCCCGCGGGAGGTCTCCCAGACCAGCGTCCGAGGACGTACTGAGTCCCGTGTCGGCCCAGCCTCGATCTCGGTGGAGCCGCTGTCTGGGCCTCGTCGCTGTCAGCACCGGCTGCAGGGGATCCCCCGGGAGGTCCCTCAGGTGCCGCTGGGTCGCCGCGGCCGTCAGCTGCCTCCGCCGTATCGCGAACGGCATCACGTCCGCCTCGCGCTCCAGCGCTGGCGCCGGGGTGGACCTGAGGCAGCCGGTGATGATCCGGCATGCCTGGCGCTGGGCGACCTCCAACTGCTCCAGCGTAGTGGGGGCCACTCCTGACATCCAGCCCGCTGCAGCGTAGTCCGCGCACGCCCTGATGTAAGCCAGGTAGAGCGTCCTCAGGTCCGTGGTGCTCGCGCCCCAGGCTTTACCTCCAACTGCTCTCAGGGCGTTGCACCTTCTGACCATCCTGGCCTTGAGGCTGGCCACATGCTGTCTGAAGGATAGAAAGGGGTTCGACGACGGCCGCCTCCGGTCCCGAGAGGGGACCAGGTGGACCCCGGACGGCTGCCGGCTGTCTCGGCGGCTGGCGGCCACCAAACGGCCGTCCTTCCTCACCGGAGCCGCACGACGGCGGCGACACCACCCATCCCTCGTCTCCGTCCCTCTTCTTCTCCCACCCATCTGCTCCTTCGCTGACCGTCTTACTCACCCCTCTCCCCCTTTGTGTTCCGACAGGTGAAGAAGCAGATGTCTGAGCTGATCGCCCAGCACAACTGCCACCCGCTGAAGGCGGGCCTGGTGCTCTGGTTCCAGTTCCCCTTCTGGATCGGCCTCTCCATGGCACTGAGGAACCTGTCCTGGGCACTGCCCGCCAGGGACGCCGGTAAGGCCACTGTGACCGCTGACGGAGGGCGAGGGAGGTTGGTGGCGGCGGGTCTTGTCGTCTGACGAGGTGTGCTGTGAGTAGCGAATCTGGTCTTGCTAGGGAGGCTGGTGGTTAGGGGCTGGTCTGGCCTGGTCTGATCAGATAACTAGGAGGTTTTTCAATTGATTTCTGCCCCCCCCCCCTATCTGTCCATCGGCTCAGCTGGTCCGTCTGTCGGCCTGCTTGGCCGTCTATTTGTTTGAGCCGTCTGTCTATGCTGGCCGTCTGAAGGCTCCACGTGTTCTAGCTGACCCGTCTCTCCTCTCTTCTTTCAGCGGCTCAGCTGGTCCGTCTGTCCGTTCGTATGTCTGTCTGACCGTCTGACCCGTCTCTCTCCTTCCAGCGGCTCAGCTGGTCCGTCTGTCCGTTCGTATGTCTGTCTGACCGTCGGACCCATCTCTCCGTCCAGCGGCTCAGCTGGGTCGTCTTATTGTCTGTCGGTCCGTCGAGTTGACCCGTCTCTCTCCTCTGTCCAGCGGCTCAGCTGGTCCGTCTTCAGCTGGCTGTGGGCGGTGTGTTGTGGTTCCCGAATCTGGCCATGCCGGACCCCACACTCGCACTGCCGGTGCTCTTCGCCGTCTGTAACCTGTGTGCCATCGAGGTGAGAAGGGAGATAGAGGGAGGGAAGGAGAGAGAGGGGGAATGGAGATTCTACGTGGGTCACGCGTCGCGCGATGAGGAGTAATCTCGTCGCTGTTTTTTTTTTTTTTTTTTTTGCAGCCGTGATGCAGATTGAAGGGGTTTCCTTTTAGTGCAACTTGCTGGCATTGGACCGATGTCCTTTACGCTACTTGTCATTTTTCACGCTTGTTTCAAGAGTGGCTGTTAGTTTCTTGAGTGTCGATATTTGATGCCAAGCCATGCTCTCTGGACGCCTTCTAAGCCAGCTCGGGAGTTTCCTGCTCCCGTCCGCTGACCTTTAGTGACCGCCCATGACCTCTGACCTGACGCCGTTTGTCCGCCCCCAGGTGGGTGTGCTCAGTCGGGTCCAGCGGGGCACGCGGCTACAGCGCTGGATGACCAACTTGGCGCGCGGCGTGACCGTCATTGTGGTACCTGTGGCCGCCCAGCTGCCCTCGGTAGGTCACTGTCTAGCGTCTAGTTCGGTGGGTTGGGACGCTGGCTGCCTTGCGTCTATCTCTGTGGGTCAGAGCAGTTACTCATGAGGTCGGCTTGCCAAAAATTGTCTGTTCTTTTTTCTCTTCACTTGTATTGTCTTGATGCCCAGTCCAGTCGTTTAGACCAATTCTATCTTGTTCAGAAGGGTTAGCAAGCCCAGCGTGACTCTGTACGTTTCTGCGAGTTGCGACCTCATGGAACCGTACGGATCATCGTGTGAAGCAGAGTGAACATGTGTAACCCTGAACTGCCCTGAACGGCCCTGTGTGACCCTGAGTGACCAGCGTCCCCTCCGTGCTGCCGTCAGGCGGTCGTGTTCTACTGGACCATCTCGTCGTTCTGCGGGCTGCTCTCCAACCTGGCCCTCATGTCGCCCTCACTGCGGCGGGCGGCCGGCGTGCCGCTCTCACCCAGTCAGCAGCAGCACCCCTACCGGCAGCTGTACGAAAACACGCTGCGCAGAATCGGCAGAAGATGACGCTAGTGTCGCTGTAGTTGTGAGGGTAAGACTGAGGCGTGATAAATGATATATGCAGTGTGGTGTGTGGGATGAATGGGCATCTTTTTTGTGTGTTTGACAAATATAAATGTGTATTTATGCAAACAACTTCTTGCCGTTGCAGCCCTAAAAGAGTAGGTGCAATGTCTGATGAACGCAGTACAAATAAAAATGCAACCATAAATGAAATGGCAGCGTCAGCGCGCTTTGATGGTGCAGCTCCCTCTAGGATTTAGTTGGCGTCCGTCTTATTCTAGTGTTCCTTGGTCGTGTTTGTAATCTGGGCTCAACAGTCAATGGAACTCAGCATCTTGCAGAAAGACCTAGTGGTGTATTAGCTCTTATGATGACTGTTAGCGCGTCCGGCCCGGAGACCTGTCCCTCGGGATGAGCTGAGTGGCGGGCAGCAGTAGTGCCACGTCACAACCTATACTCGCTGCTCATCCTCTTCCTACTGTCGGTCCGACGGAGAAACGTACGATTGGTCAAGCCGGGTCTGTGAACGCGATGTCGTGCGGGCGCTGCCTTTGCAGTTGACGGGTTAAAGAACATTCATCCGTTATTTTCGTTGTTGAGTCTCCTACGTGTTGATACCGGATAGGTCGCCCAGCCACCACCCACGTCTGAAAAGGTTCCGACAAACATCACACGCAGTGTATTTAAATATAACATTAAAACATCAGCGCGCATTGCACTCTCATCAAAGCCATCAAAACAGCAGAACACCCATTGTGAAGCCAAACACATGCAAAGCCGATAGGATGCTGGGATGGAGATTGCCAAAGTTCTCAGCTCTGCAAAAGCAAACACTGCGAATCACGATGTTGAAAAGAGATACGTGATTACCTGAGCTCTCAAGCGAGCTCATGGCGGCTAATAAGATAGAAATTCTCGAAACCTGGTAAAAGCGGACTTGTCCAAAGCAAAACACAAAGTATTTGAGACGAGGTTTGAGATGCATGCGCAGGTCAGGCGAGCTCGGCCCTCATCATCTCAAAACTCGATGGTCAAGTAAGCAGATGGCTGCAACAATCGTCAGCTGTTTGAATACATTCGTATGGATTTATAACGATCACAGTGAACAGAACCCAGTGGTGGTCGAAACCAAAACGGTTTTGTCCAAAGTTTTTTTTTTAACTGATGGGGCGTTCCACGACAAATCGACAAGTGCCCTGCACCCTCATGTTTTATTTTTTGCTTAAAATTGGTCTAATGGGTTGTGATGGGCGGGGAAGCCAGCTGTGGCAAGGATTTTTTTCTTCGAACAACGGTTTCCGAGATATAGCCTCGGGCAATTCTTGGAGTTCGCGCTGCAGCCCTATGTTTGGCGGCCTATAACTCAGAAACTATTGTTTTTTTACGATAAAAACTTCATATGGTTCAACTCACAATCAACCAACAAACATTTTGGCTATCTCGGATTCTCAATTTTTGAAAATTTTGATCACGTGACCTTTTGTCCTATTTTTCGAAGAGTGACCTTGATATTTTCCCCACTGAAAGTTGCAATTTTGTCTGATGACGATTAAAGCCTTATCAATTTTCATTCATATGCGATAGTAAAAAAAGTGGTTATCGCCCTGCGTTGACCTCAGGTCAGGTCATTTTTATGATCTGTCCATTATTACGAGCGGGAGCGACAGCGAGATCTCGAGAATAAAGCAAGATAGCGACAAGCGGTAAACGGTAAAGGGTACACACGGATAAGGTCTATAATTTTTACTGAGGTCATTTTCAGGTCAGGTCAAAGATGACGTCACAGGAGCTAAAAGGAAGTCAAAATAGCGGCACTATGCATAATATGAAGTTTTTCTCGAATAACTTTCAAGGTATCCCAGCTAGGAACAAACTAATAGCACCATCGTGATCCTCTCGTCGATCCGCATCGAAACATATGTATGTTGACCTCGAAAGGTCGAAAGGTCAAAAGTTGATCTTAGGTCACGTGATCTAAGGTCAACTTTTGACCTTTCGACCTTTCGAGGTCAACATACATATGTTTCGATGCGGATCGACGAGAGGATCACGATGGTGCTATTAGTTTGTTCGTAGCTGGGATTCCTTGAAAGTTATTCGAGAAAAACTTCATATATATGTATAGTGCCGCTATTTTGACTTCCTTTTAGCTCCTGTGACGTCATCGTTGACCTGACCTGAAAATGACCTTTGTAAAAATTATAGACCTTATCCGTGTGTACCCTTAACCGTTTACCGCTTGTCGCTATCTTGCTTTATTCTCGAGATCTCGCTGTCGCTCCCGCTCGTAATAATGGACAGGTCATAAAAATGACCTGACCTGAGGTCAACGCAGGGCGATAACCACTTTTTTTATTATCGCATATGAATGACAATCGATAAGGCTTTAATCGTCATCAAACAAAATTGCAACTTTCAGTGGGGAAAATATCAAGGTCACTCTTCGAAAAATAGGACAAAAGGTCACGTGATCAAAATTTTCAAAAATTGAAAATCCGAGATAGCCAAAATGTTTGTTGGTTGATAATGAGTTGAACCATATAAAGTTTTTATCGTAAAAAACCAATAGCTTCTGAGTTATAGGCCGCCAAACATAGGGCTGCAGCGTGAACTCCAGGAATTGCCTGAGGCTATATCTCGGAAACCGTTGTTCGAAGAAAAAAATCCTTGCCACAGCTGGCTTCCCCGCCCATCACAACCCCTTACACCAGTTTTCAACGAAGAATAAAATATGAGGGTGCAAATTTAACTTTTTATTTGTCGATTTGTCGTGGAACGCCCCTGATAACCCAATCTTCTCCACGTCCGATATTGGACATTCGTAGCTCATATTGTTTTCTAATTCAAACAAACTCCCCAAGTCCCCAAAACGTTACGAGGAAGATCTAGCATTTCATCATGGAATGAAGGCTTGCAAAAAAAAACTGGTGTCCCGACCTTTATCGAGCAATATTCCACCTCACCAACATCAACCCCAAATTGGCATACAATGACGAGACAAGCATGAACAATGAACATAAATAACAGCTCGATCACACGAAGGGGTGTCTTCCGGCCGGCGTACCGACACACACGATCACAAGCTGCCTGGCCGAGCGGCCACTTCCCGCCCAACATACACAATATACCCTAGGAAACAGTCGACAGCCCTCCACCGGTCTCGCCGTCTCACACCGGGAGTGTCCGGGACGCCGTGGAGCGCACCGCCGACGAGCACAGTGTCGAGAAGAAGCGCAGGCCGCGCTCTCCGCCGGGGATGTGGCAGGCTACGAACCAGACGAGTGCCACCAGCTGGCAGAGCGCGCACACCACCGTCAGTGCCGTGCTGTGTAGGTGCAGCGAGCAGTAGAGCGTGGCCGCCAGCGACGCCACGTAGACAGAGGTGAATGGCAGCCGCTCCCGCGAGCAGACGTGCTTCAGGTGCGCCCAGGGGCCCCACAGCAGCGAGAAACTGACCGAGCAGACATGGCGCCGGCCCACGTCACACACGGCTCCGGGACAGCGCAACAGGAAATACACAGTCGCTCCAAAATAACTAGATAAATAAGTATGATTCGTTATGCTCAAAACCATATCAACAAAACAGAGTAAACGTAGAAATCATGCTCCAAAAAGAGAATGCAGATAAAAATTCATCGCATAAAAATATACGAATGGTGGGGCTAGAGCACGCCAAATCAAACAGTAGCCCTGATGCGTCAAAGACTAAAAACGCCAACAGCTGTTGAGCTTGGGTGAGCCCCTTTTCACAAAGTCGGTAAAAATAGGTGATGAATTATGTTTCAAGAAATCCACTTTGCAATAAATCATTCCCAAGTCAGCCATTTCGACATTGCAAAACCCCCAATTATTTGTCATGCCCTCCTCTGTCCTCACCTGGACATACAGAAGAAGCTCCCGAGCGTGAAAAGGGTGGCAAACTTCCTGGCCTTGAAGGCGATGAAGGGAATGGTGAAACCCGCCACGGTGAAGCAGATTGAGCCCAGACACAGGCAGGTCATGAAACCAATCACTCGCTGTTTCCGACTCTGCCGAACAAAGAAAAACACCGCTCAAATGAGAACATAAACAGCAGGAGCACTTCCTTAGGTGCATAAGGCGCACATGAGGCAACAGATAAGAAACACTTCATGGAACACATGGTAGCGTAAGGAAGCACATGAATTAATGAAAGCGAATCCTGGAGAACTTAGAGCCTTTTTCAATTTTTTTTTCATTTTCTAATTACTTTAACCGGTTGGGGGGGGGGGGGCGAAACGCCCCGCCCCCTCTCCTGTTCAGTCGATATCTCCCAAAGTATAGCAGATATCACCACGCAGTGGCGCAGCCAGAACTCTGGCGACGGGGGTGAGAGACGTTCGCGATGGGCCCCCCAGCAAAGTGGGCCCCCCTCAACCAAATGGGGGCCCCTTACCAACAACGAAAGTTCAGATCATTGTCATCATTACCAGTCAAATCGGGGAAAAGGACAAATATCTCTTGATCTGAAGAGGCACGTAAAAAAACAACAGCATATTTATAGAAACACGACCATTCTGCCCATATTTGATGGACAGCGTGCAATTGATGGCCAGCGGCCACTCAAAGGGTCGGGCTAGGTCAAAAGGCTTTTAAAAAAGCTCAACATCAGTTTTTCGACTGTTACTTTTCATATAGGAGAGGAGGTAGAGTTATGATATTGTCTTGAAGGTGTTAATCATCCATACGGATCGGTTGATGACCATCATGAACTTCTCAAGTAAGGGCATGACCTTGATCTGCGGTCACATTTTAAAGTTGAACTTTTTATGTGAAATTATAGGTAGCTCATTCGATGCATGTTAACAAGAGAATGATGATTAAGTAAATGTCTCATAGTTTCTCTCACCAAAGACCTTGCAAAAATTCTTAGCAAAACTGTTTTGGTAAAATGCGACTATTTAGATGGTTTTGCCGGTTTTACCCTCTGCTCTGTTGCCAAACCATTGACATGAGGCATTGAGGTCAAATCTTAAAAGCGAAAGCGTTTTGAAAGGCCTATCGAATGAGTTGTTCCGCAAAGCTCTAGCTCTTTGGTTCACGAGTTATACGGTTATTTGTGAAAAATATAAAGAAAAATTCGTCGTAATCTTGTCTTTGTGTTAATCATAATTTTATCATAATTTCATCTTCAATGATCTCAGCGATGACCTAATCGAAAAATGACCTCTACGATTCTGAAGCATCCTATAGCTATCCGTTGCTTTGCTCGTCTTTCTAGCCGTCTTAAATTATGATCGGGTTTGGCCGATGCGCCCCTCCCCCCCCCCCCCATGGCTGATTGCACGAGTTAGAGATCGATCCCTATCGAACCCACTTTCAGCGCGCTATAGCTTTTTATGTCCTCGAGTGTCGAAATAGGCGAAACTTTTCCTTCGATGAACATGATGACGTGTGCTTTGGTCTGAACTGCAATATGACTGAAGCAATTTCTCCATGATTTTCGACGCTCTTGAGAAAGCCGCCTACCGCCGCACTTGTCGCTACGTGACCCTGGAGTCAGGTTAGAAGGGGATATTCAAACACCCCTCAGGGGCGTAAAACTGGAAAGCTTGGGGCCCTGCTCTGCGGGTCGCGGTCGAGCTAGGCTAGAGCCAGTTAGGGTTATTTACAAGCCCACGTAAAGCCCTCAAGAATCTGCATAGAGCACAGGCCTTCCAAGACTTCGGGGTTTAGATATCGACAATCTACATGGTCTTTTGAGGCCTGCGTGGTGGCTATCAGAGGTCGGTGGGCCCCTCAAAAGCCGGCGCAGGAGCCTCAGGTGTCAGTTTGGAGCCATCATGGACCGGTGTGGGGTCCTGATAAATACCTAGGCGTCAAAGCCCTAGACGTCGGGGTGGGGCCGGGCGGCGAGGCAGGCACAGGCATGAGGAGAAGATTTTCAGATGTCGGCTTGGCAGGGCCCTGCATGGCTTTCTCAGAGGCTGACATATCGTACTGCGGGACCTCCATCATAAGCGGCGGAACGGGGAGGGCACCGGGGCACCGTGCCCCCCTTTGATTTTGGCATTTTAACATTAGCCCCATGGGCGTTGCATGGAAAGAATGGGACCAAAAGTCGGCAGTGCCCCCCCCCCCCCTAATTGAAGGTGTTCAGACGCTTCTGACCTCCATGAGCCTCAAAAACCTCTATGGGCCCCCTCACGCTTGGGGTAGGCTTCCTGATGGGCCCATTAGACATGAACTGGGCCATCAATATACATGTGGTGAGTTGACCTATATCAAACATGATATCGGCTCAACCAGGATTGGGATAGGCCCTCTCAGACCCAGACCAGGCACGGAGTACGGACCCTCCCACACATAGGATGATCCTTTCATTCCTGGGATGTCTTCTCAGGCCTGAACTGGCCCTCTCAGACCTGAAATGGGCCCTTCTCAGGCCTGAAGTAGACTCTCAGGCCTCAAATAGGTCCTCTAGGGCCTGAAATGGGCCCTCTCAGGCCTGACATTAGCCCTCTCAGACCTCAAATGGGCCCCTCTCAGGCCTCAGCTAGGTCCTCTAGGGCCTGAAATGGGCCCTCTCAGGCCTGACATTAGCCCTCTCAGACCTGAAATTGGCCCTCTCAGACCTGAAATGGGCCCCGTCAGCCCGGAAATGGTCCCTATCAGGTCGAAAAAGGCCCCCCTCATACCGTAAGTGGGCCCTCTCAGGTCTGAAATGGTGCCTCTTATGCCTGAAATGGGCCCCTCTCAGCCCTCAAACGGGCCCTCTCTGGCCTCAAACGGGCCCTCTCTGGCCTCAAACGGGCCCTCTCTAGCCTCAAACAGGCCCTCTAGGGCATGAAATGGGCCCTCTCAAGCTTGAAATGGCCCCCTCAGGCCTGAAATGGGCCCCTCTCAGGCCTGAAATGGGCCCTATCAGGCCTCAAACATGCCCTCTAGGGCCTGAAATGGACCCCTTCAGGCCTAAAATGGGCCCTCACAGCATCAAATGGGCCCTCTCAGGCCTGAAATGGGCCCCTCTCTGGCCTCAAATAGGTCCTCTAGGGCCTGAAATGGGCCTTCTCAGGCCTGACATTAGCCCTCTCAGACCTGAAATGGGCCCCTCTCAGGCCTCAAATAGGTCCTCTAGGGCCTGAAATGGGCCCTCTCAGGCCTGACATTAGCCCTCTCAGACCTGAAATGGGCCCCCTCAGCCCGGAAATGTCGAAAAAGGGCCCCCTCATACCGTAACTGGGCCCTCTCAGGTCTGAAATGGTGCCTGAAATGGGCCCCTCTCAGCCCCCAAACTGGCCCTCTCTGGCCTCAAACGGACCCTCTTTAGCCCCAAACAGGCCCTCTAGGGCATGAAATGGGCCTTCTCAAGCTTGAAATGGGCCCCCTCAGGCCTGAAATGGGCCCCTCTCAGGCCTGAAATGGGCCCTATCAGGCCTCAAACATGCCCTCTAGGGCCTGAAATGGACCCCTTCAGGCCTGAAATGGGCCCTCACAGGCATCAACTGGGCCCTCTCAGGCCTGAAATGGGCCCCTCTCAGGCCTCAAACAGGCCCTCTAGGGCCTGAAATGGGCCCTCTCAAGCTTCAAATGGCCCCTTCAGGCCTGAAATGGGCCCTCACAGACCTCAACTGGGCGCTCTCAGGCCTGAACTGGCCCTCTCATGCCATCGAACGGGCCCTCCTAGGCCTTGGATTAGTTCAATCGGGTCTTGGATGTACCCTCTTAAATCATAAAATGGGACTATAAATCCTAAAGGGGGGGGGGCTATCAGGCCTGAAAACTGTTTTTCAGTCCTATGACGGACCTTGACATTATGATAAAAAAGTGTCAGGCTGCATAACGTTACAGTTCGAATTGACGGTGGGCCCCCAGGATAAGACACGGGGGTGAGATCTCACCCCTTTCACCCCCCCTGGCTGCGCCACTGTCACCACGAAACAATTTCAGGATCCCTCCGGGCATCAATTTTACACCTAGTGACCAAAAATTTCCAGAGGCTATTAACGGTTGGCCGTTAATGACGTTAAGTGACGTCATGTTCTGCCAAGAAGGTTTTGCGGGAAGAGCTGTCACGCCTACAGTTTTGGGGATAGGGGAAAAAATAAAAAGGTGTAGAAATCAGAGGGCTACAGAACTGCTATCTCTGATTTAAAAAAAAAGATCCCCAAACTAAAAAAGTAATTTTTGGGATATCCAAAAAAATCAAAGTTTTGAAAAAAACGAAAACTGGAAAATATGTAATAGAACTATTGATTTGCTCTTCACATGCCAAATTTGAGCTCGATGGCCTCATTTTTGGCAGTTATGGCGAAAAAAAAAAAACTAAAAATTTATTAAGTGAATTTTCAAACTCAATTTTTCGCCGTTATAGACAGGGCCTATTTTAACATGTTAACTGGGGGGGGGGGGGGGGCAAATGCCCCCGCACTCAACAGAATTGCCCCCCCCCCCAGTCGTCGAGATGTGCCCACTATAAAAATGGGCATAAAGGAACACGGTGACAAACATACAACTGTGACTTGTTTTGCAATGGATGTCAAATGAGTCAGTCTGCAAGTAATGACCAGTGGTGGATCCAATGGTGGGTCACATGGGTTATGACCCCCGCCCCCTTTGGCCCGGGGACACCACAGGCCTGCCTGGGGCACCACCGGCCTGTCAGGGGCACCACAGACCTGTTGGGAGCACCATCGACCTAGGAAGAGCACCATAGGTCTGCCAGGGGCACCACAGACCTGCCAGAGGCCCCACCGGCCTCGCAGGGGCGCCACCTTGGGCCTGTCAGGGATACCACCACAGGCCCGCCAGGGGCACCACAGGCCTGCCAGAGGCACCACAGGCCTAGCAAGGGCACCACGGACCTGTCAGCGACACCACGGGCCTGTCGGGGGCACCTCAAGCTTGTCAGGGCCAAGGGACACCACAGGCCTGTCAGGGGAACCAGAGGCCTAGCAGGGACACCACATGCCTGGCAGGGGCACCACCGGCCTCGCAGGGACATCTTGGGCCTGTAAGTGGCACCACGTGCCTGTCGGGGACACTCCAGGCTTGTCAGGAGCACCACAGTCCTCTCAGGGCCCAGGGGCACCAGCGGCCTAGCAGAGGCACCACCGGCCTAGCAGGGACACCAACGGCCTCGCAAGGGCATCATGGGCCTGTCAGGGGCACCACGGGCCTGTCGTTGGAACTTCAGGCTTGTCAGGGGCACCCACAGTTCTTTCAGATGCACCGGCGCGGCGGCCTAGCACCATGGCACCATGTTTGGCCGGGATCGCGATTCGGCGTATGTCGCCTCGCATTAGCCGCTCGTTTGCAGTCTTTTCGTGGTTTCAAACGTTCAAACATGGGATATGATGTTGCTCCCATGCATTAGGGTGGGTGTCAAGGTCACCGGAAGGTCAGGTCAGGTCATTTACCTTTGATGACCTCGGTTCACATTTTCGAGTTCTGTAAGATTCTAGGCTAGTTTTTGGAGCTAAATTCGAATTTAGCAACCATTTGACCGTTTGCGAAGTAGTTTTGGTGCCTTCGTAACATGTTACGAGGCTGTCAGAGGCGGTTGCCACCTACTACGAACACCCGGCAAAACCCTTACTGGTTGACCTGACCTGACCTGACCCGACCTGGCCTAAATGCATGAAGACATCATCTATAATCATAACTAACATGATATTCGTGATCATCACCCCGAAAAAACATAGCAGCCACCCTTTACGATGCTCTAACAGGTCTCGATTTTCCCGACTTTTGGGTCATTGACCTGACCTGGAAGGTCAAGTGATGACGACCTAGGACCTTAACACTCGCCGGCACAGGCCATTTTGCGTCCTTCGACGGCGGGGGGTTGGTACGTCCCCCCTCGCGCTTGGCCCCTGATCGAGCTAGAGCTTCGCGGAAAAAACGAGCGTGCTGCCCGTCACGAGAGGAAGCCGATGATATCTAATTTTAATGTTCTAGGTCATCGGGTGACCTTCCAGGTCAGGTCAATGACCCGAAAATCGGGACCTGTTAGAACGTCGTAAAGTGTGGCTGCTATGGGGTTTTTCGGGGTGCTGATCCGAATGATATCATGTGAGTTTTGATCACAGATGATGTCTTCATGCATTTAGTCCAGGTCGGGTCAGGTCAGGTCAGGTCAACCAGTAGGGGTCCTGCCGGGTATTCCTAGTAGGTGTCAACCGCCTCTGACAGCTTCGTAACATGTTATAAAGGCACTAAAACTAGGCTTCGTAAATGTTCATCGGGTTGCTAAATTCGAATTCAGCTCCAAAAACTGGCCTAGAAACATGTAAAACTCGAAAAAGTGAACCGAGGTCATCAAAGGTCACTGACCTGACCTGACCTTCAGGTGACCTTGACATCCACCCTAATGCATGGGAGCGACATCAAATCACATGTTTGAACGTTTGAAAGCACGAAAAGCTTGCAAAAGCGCGGCTAATGCGAGTCGACATACGCCGAATCGTTATTCCGGCCAAACATGGTCTCGGAAAGTAGGTCACAGGTCAAAGGTCAGTTGGGTCAGGGTCATGAAATTTTCAGGGTAGGTGTAAAATTGATAAATGCGAGGGTACTGAAAGTTTCGTTGCAATCGGCAGCTTTTTACGCGAGTTATTCGCGAAAAAACCTTAGGGGGGTTGCATCAACCCCCCCCCCCCCCGTGTCGGCGAGGGTCGGCGAGGGTTAAAATTGGGTATCATCGGCTTCCTGTCATCACGGGCAACACGGTCGTTTTTTCCACGAAGCTCTAGCTCGAGCAGGGTCGAAACGGCAAGGGGGAAGGTCCAACGGACCCCCCCCCCCCCATATACGTTCGCAGCTGGAAAATACCAATACGGGCGAGGGTTGATGGATTATTAGAGACAATTTTCCAGGTTGCCCCCCCAGTCAAATTCCCTTAAAATAGGCTCTGGTTATAGAACACGCAAGGTAAAAAGAAGATCAGCATTGGATTCCCCGTGACGAGCTGCATCGAATAGATGCCTTTTTCTGTAAAATATCAACTTTGAAATGTGATCTTTTTTTACCTGACCTTGACTTGACCTGACCTCCATAAGAACGAAACCTAAAACGTCCCTAATGGTCGTCTAACCTGCATCATTGAATTTCAAATGTAAAATTGCCCATAAACGACGCATTACACGACCCCAATATAGTTGGGTCCATATTGTGACCCGTTGTGACCTGACCTCTGTGACCTGACCTGGCATCAGTGACCTCCTAAGCAACATATGTATTAGGCGACCAACGCTGCATCGATGATTACATGCCTTTTATTCGATGTTACAACGGATTCCTTAGAAGGCCCGTAATCGGTGAAAAATGCGATTTTTGACCTGACCTGTGACGTCATCGGTTGCACCTAGATCAACAAAAGTTGGTCACAACATAGCTCCCCGGTGGCGCTATTAAACGCCGCTTGAATTTTCCAAATCGGTCGGTAACTTTCCGAGATCTTAGAGGGGCGACCCACCACCCCCCCCCCCCCCCCCAACGGGTAGTAGGGTCCACCAATAGCCCAATGGGGCGCGGGTTAAGCTGAAGTGTGTAACAAAGCTCACCAGGCCTAAGAAGTTGGATGTGTCACTGCCAAACCAGGAAGCATTGCTGGATGCCTGGCTTGGATCCTCAAAGTTGTCCTCGTTCTCCATCAGCGGTGCAACTGCCTCGCCACGAGATGAGGACATCCATGTTTTAAGGCCAAATATATTTGCTGTATTTGTCCCAGGAGCAGCAATCGACTTCACATACTCCTTAAGGGAATCCTTACTTGCACCAGAAGGCATTGCAAATCAGTTTTATATCTGAAATAAAAGGCTCATGTAGACATCCAAGCAAATAAATCTCAATCTCTCCATACAATTTCATCATTTTGTGGTTTTAATTGTTAATGCATTAGACTTAGGTAAATGCAGAAACCCTAAATCAAATTATTGACGTAAGTATGTATTGGGAATAAATAACTGTACCTACATCATAAGGCTCAGCTTAGCTATACACACCTTTATTACCCTATAATAATTGCAATTAATTAACAAAACAGAAACAAAAAGGAAAGAATCATCCTTCTTAGCTTTAAGAAGTCACAATTCATCGATACTCAAGAAAATTTTTACACAAAATATTTATAAGTTAGGTACATTCGAACTCCTCGCCTCCGGTCAGGTGAGGTTGCGTTAGATGAGGTTAGGTTAGGTTTGGACATTGCTGTTTATATTGTAAGTTTTTAGGGAAAGCGATCGTATGGATGAACATCTAGGTCGATATATGGTTCGTGACAATACAAATAGGTATTGTCTTATTTTATTTTGGGTCCAGAGTCCTCAAGTCGGAAAACCTGATCAACGACGCCCAACACGGTTTTCGTCCAGGGAGGTCCTGCTCTACTCAGCTGATGCTAACGATAGAAGAATGGAACAGCATGCTTGAGAGCAACCGACCTGTCGACGTCATATACCCAGACCTTCGCCTGGCCAAGGCGCTCAACACAGTCCCACCTAGACGGCTGCTGAGGAAAGTAGAACCTCACGACATCGGAGGCAAGATTCTGAGATGGATCGGCGCATTCTTGAAAGGACGGAAGCAGCGAGTCACTGTTAGAAGCAGCAAGTCAGACTGGGCTCCTGTACCAAGTAGTGTTCCACAGGGTTCAGTCCTTGCTCCACTGCTCTTCACGCTGTACGTGAACGACCTGCCGGAGCCACTACACTGCGGGATAAAGATATTCGCCAACGACAGCAAACCCTACCGACCTATCTACTATCTGTCCGACTCGGCATCCCTGCAGGAGGACCTGAACGCGGCACTTCACTGGGCGGACAGGTGGCAGCTGTCATTCAACCCTGGAAAGTGCAAGGTGCTCCACATTGGCGGAGGCAACCGGTACCACATACCGGATGGGGGAACAACAGTCGCGGAGTCAGAGGTCGAGAGAGACCTTGGCGTTCTCATGGATACCCAGGCCACTACCCAGTACCCAACTCAAATTCCGGAAGCATGCTGCTGCAGCCGTAAGGAAGGCAACACAAGTGATTGCAGTGATTCATCGGTCCTTCCACCTGCTCGACAAATCAACCCTCCCCTTGCTCCTCAAGGCCCTTGTCTGACCCCACCTTGAGTACCGTAAGGTGGGGCTATTTGAGACAGTGGGGCTATTTGAGACAGTGGGGCTATTTGAGACAGTATTTAAAATAGCTATAAAATAAAAACCACTTAAAATGTATGCTTAATTTTTTGCCCAGGCGATTTACTGGCATACTGCTCGATTCCACACCTCCCTGAGCAAAGATATCACACAAAAATCAAACGATCTTCATTTTATATCGAGTTTAAATACTGTCTCAAATAGCCCCACTGTCTCAAATAGCCCCACTTTATGGTACGTAAATCTAGCGTGGGGTCCCTTCAGCCGGGCGGACCAGTGGCTGGTAGAGCGGGTGCAGAGGCGGGCGACCAAGCTGGTTCCCGATCTTCGACACATCTCGTATCGAGAGCGACTGAAAGTGCTGCAGCTTGAACTACCAACGCTGTACTACAGACGGATACGTGGAGATATGATCGCGGTTTATCAGCTGCTCCGCGGTGGACTTGACATGGACCCTCCAGCTTCTTTGAGATGGCAGCCGACAGAACTCCTGCTAAAAGAGGACACCAGTGGAGACTAGCCAAGCTGCGAGCGGTCTCCAGGATTCGGCCCAATGTGTTCTCCATCTGCATCATCGTCTCAAACAGCCTACCACCAGCTCCCAGCGGCCATCGCTTCCGACACCCTGAACTCAATTCAAAAACCAGCTTGGTGCTTACTGGGCACACCTTGCATATGACATCCCTCATGCAGACAAATAGTCTGTGCATGAGGAGCTCGACTAGAAAGGTTTCTAAACGCCTCTGGCCTATCCAAATTCCGTACTTCATAAGTAAGCAAGTACCTAAGCAGTCATAAGAAATTTTTACCCAGCTCATTTATCAGACATGTCATTTTGTCCACAAAATATCCAATTTCCAATTTTTGAAAACTAAAATTGAATAATTAATGTCCATTGTCCATACCTGACGAGGGGTTACACTGCTCCGTTGGTTGGTTACGAGCGAGCGAGCGCAGCGAGCGAAGCGAAGTCTTCAATATAAGGGAAAAATCTCAGTATGAGCGGCCCGGCCCGGCCCGGCCCGGCCTGTAACGCTTTTAAGAGGCTTATATCTCAGCACCCACTGGACCGATTGGCCTGCGGTCTTTTTTTCTGGGTAGCCCCATCCCTTCTACCCTGTAATTGGCTACTTTTGATACATCTCAGTGACTGTCGTGGCACGTGCCACGTGAAAAGTCAAGGGTGTTCAAGCTGTTTTGCAAAAGTAGTGATTTTGAGAGGCTCATATCTCAGTAGCCGCTTGGGCGATTGTCTTATACTTATACTTACTTATACTTATAAATCGCGGAATTTAGAAAGGCCACTTGGCCTTTGGGATCCGGTCTTGTCGAGCTGTTTGTCTGTATTGTGTGATGTTTCAGTCGTATGGGTGAGTCATGTGCATGAAGCGTGCCCAGTGACTGTCGAGCCTGGCCTTGAATGAGTCGACTGAAGGCGCATCAACAACAGTCGATGGCAGCGAATTCCAGTCGTTCACGACTCTAACGCTGAACGCGTTTCGTCTGACTCTGGAGTTGGTCCTGGACTTGGAAAGCTTCCATGTGTGTCCACGGGTCCGGGACGTCGCTGCTCGCGTAAAGAACTTGGACGCATCAACGTCAACTCCCCCGTGGAGCACTTGGTAGACCGTTATCATATCGCCGCGGCGACGACGGTAGTAGAGAGACGGCAGGTTAAGTGTCTGGAGCCTCGCCTCGTAGGGGAGTTCGCGGATGCTGGCGACGAGCTTTGTGGCTCTCCTTTGGACCCTTTCAATCCCCTTCTGGTCCGCTCTGTTGAATGGCCCCCAGACCGCGTTGGCATACTCCAGATGGGGGCGGACCATTGTCCGGAAGAGCAGTGGCAACGTGGTTTCGTCGATGACGCAGAAGGATCGCCGAATGACTGCTAGCATGTGAGAAGCCTTGAAGATGGCGGCCGCCGCTTGCTCTCGGAATTTCAGCTGGTGGTCCATCTGCACCCCCAGATCCTTTTCCACCAAAACTTGTACGAGCTCGGTGCCTCCCATGTGATACCCCTGCCTGTCATATTGGCGACCCAAGTGCAGGGAAACGCATTTCTTGTCTTGCGGTAATTTTTGTAGGGTAGCTGCATCCCTTCTATCAAAGGTCGGATACTCTTGATCTATGTGAGTGACCCCACTGCACGTGCAAAATACAAAAAGAAGAGGTGCCAAATTTGTTCCCATTTCAATAACTCGGTAATTACTGGGGCGATTTCGCTGAAACTTGGCATACAGGTAGGCACCCACCAGGCAATGCATTCCCATGTGTTGTGGTTAGGGTGCTACTGCACGTTGCACGTGCGCACGTGCAGGGGGCACTTCCAGATCTCGAGAACGGCTGGGCCGATTGCGCTCAAATTTGGTACACGGTTGGGGACCGGTTAGTAGGGTGCCGAGCAAAAGTCAGTTTTTGGACCCCGTTTGCACATGCACACATGCAGAATACCGCTTCCAGATCTCAGGAACGGCTGGGCCGATTACGTTCACATTTGGCACACCACTAGCGACCGGTTAGAAAAGTGCTTTGCACAAGCCCATTGGAAGTACCCTCTTGCCCTTCCGCAAGTGCAGGGCTCACTATCTCGCTCGCTCGTTCTTCGCCCAAAAGGTGTTTTACTGGTTAATTGGTTTGGGTTAAGCACTATGTCCAGTGGACCAAGTCCTAACCAGAACTCACACGCTGTTCCAAGGGTCAGGCAGCGGCAATGCCATGTGCATTGCCTGGGAATCGACCTCGGATGGCCAAATCTAGAGACAAGGAACTTACCCCTAGACCAGACCAGAGGGGTGTTCACGGGCACCGCACACTGCTGCGTGCGGTGTGTGCGGTACGTCCAGCAGGCGTGGGGGTAGGGGATGGGTAGGCGGCTCTGACGTCACGGCTGCGTGCGGTGGACGGTCCGCTGTGGCCAGTCCCGACCGGCCACAGCGGTCGCTGTGTGCGGTGACGCAAGGCTGACGTAGGGACGTAGTGGGCGGAGCTTGGAGGCTGTGTGCGGTCCGACCGCACACAGGGTCCATGAACAGCTCTCAGAATGCTCCCCAGACACACTGCTTCGTGAAGATTACATTAATTCATGGCTGAGCAGTTTCAAGAGCTATAGGTACCTACCAAAATTTTTTGTTGTTTTAGTTTTTTGTTTAGTGGTTTAAAAGCCAGTCATGAAGCCTGAAGGTATTGGATCAGGATGCCACGGTATCCCGCAATAAATAACTCAAATCAATCCGTTTCTCATTGAGCTATCAGATAGCAGGAATCTTGATCTGAGGGATTTGGAAATTTGCTATACAAAGATGGTAATTAATTCTCACCACTTCAACTTCGATAACGCACAACCGATACCTACAACACACTACAATAAATCCAATAAATCACAACCAAAGCACAGCACAACAGCACAAATGCAGCCAAACCACAGCTAAACGCACAACAGTACATTTTTGTGTTCATTACTTTTCAGGCATTGCCTAAACTGCTATACATGGAATATGGTTGCTGGCGTTTCTCAGCTCTTATTGGTCGACAGCAAAGCTCGCGTATATTCACCAATGAGAAGCACAGAAATATTAAGCCTCAACGATGCAGGCGAACAGCTTTGAGAGCAGTTTGTAATATTGCGCATTTGCGACATTTAAGGTGAAGACGTCATAGAGTTCAGTGAGACGTCATAAGAATGGTGAGATTGTGCGGCAGTATTTTTATGAAAGTTTCACAACTGTTACAGCCTTCCAAATTCATAGAATTTAGAAGCATTGCATAGAAATCACAAATCCAAAACTGAATTTACCGCCTACTTCATTTCTATCGGGTTTGCTACCCTCGAGATAACCCCCAATGACGTCATTTAGGCTGCTGCAGCTAATTTATTATTTTTGTTTCTGTCGTCCATTATTCTCCCCCAACATCAACAAATCTCCTTCCTTGACATGCCTTTTCTCCACGTGTGGGACGTGAACGGCGGGCGGGTCGCCGCGGGAGCGAATACGGTATGTTAATTGATTTCTTAATTCATCGTTGGTTGGCTTACACTGCTCTTTAAGAATACCTTTCTTGCGGTGTTTTTATCCTGGTCCACTCTTGAGTTCACCTAAGACTTGCACGATTTAATTAAGCTCGTTCCTTGCTGTCTCAGTCTGGGCTCGCACCAATGCTTGTTTATGGAATATCTGTTAAAGTTGTCAATTTTTGCTCCATTCCATTATGTTCATTACCATGAGAGTTCAATTATCATTGGGATGACAATGAATCAGAATAAGCTTAGCATCATTGCAGGACAGTCTGCAAAGTATGGCAATTTCAACAAGATCTAGTTGGTGCGGTCTTGTTCGGCTGGTGCGGATTTTGGTGTGGTGCGTTGTGGTCTGTGGATTTAGTATAGTGCGGTGCAGAATTGGCTTTGCGATGACATCCCAGACCATACGAGATAGATGAAGAAAATTGAAGAATAAACATTGTTGGAGCTTTGACATGTAATTCAGTGTCCTCTCAAGTCTAATTGAGTGTGCGCTGGTCAGAACTCAGAACGGACAATGCCAGCACTGGTGGTCCCATAATCATGTGGGTCGCCCGCAAGTTCGCACTGTTACAACACGAAGCGCATCGCTCGGCTCTGGGAGGCATTGGCGGCCAGACTGCAAAACGTGGCAGGTTTCGACAAGATCTCGGGCGTGCACGGGGCCTCCACTAACCTCATTCCTCACTCAGGCATGCATTTCAAATCTCATGCGTGCATGGCCATATGGCCCAGGCGCACAGGCGTGCAATTACGAATCGGGGTATAAGCCTGGAGAGCTCTCATACGAAGCTTGCTAATGAATCAAACGCGAAATGCGCGGGCCGAGGACCGACATCTACCCAACTACCGTGCATTTGAGAGCGCTCAGCGCTGTTCATTGGGAATAAATGTGCGTGTGTGACAGATTATTTTGCTTTATCTCTGTTATTCATGTTCATTTTCCGATCGTTTTACTAGGTTGTCGATGCGCAATAAACACTCTGGAATGGAATGGAATCACTAGTGCGGTTATTGCCACAAATTTCAGCGTTTTCACTGCGGCTGGCATACACGGACGGTGGACCTCGGTTCGGTCAAACCCCTCCCAGCCGCTCGACCCTTGATCGAGATAGAGCCTTGTGGAAAAAAAAAGCGGGCGTATTGCCTGTAACAAGCGGAAGCAAATGCTTACCGATTTTTAGATTTTAGATCATTGGCTGACCTTCTGGGTCAGGTCAATAGCCTATCTGTCAGGAAAATCAGGACCTGTCAGATTTTCTTGAAGCGAAGCAGACGAGTCTTTTCCAGGGTATTTTGGGGTCCTGATTCCGATTTTCACACCAGTTTTGTTTGATAATGCATAATGCATCTAGAGTAGGTTGGGTGCAGGTCAGTTATGGCCAACCAGCATTTGTCTCACCACTTGTTCTTGGCCAGTATTTACCACCAATGATGCCTCCCTCTCATGTCATGTAGTCTGTAAAAGTAGGTAGGTAGTTTCCAAATCATCAAATGAATGCTAAATTCGTTATTGGCTCTGAAAACTACTCTATTAACTCGCGCCCGGCTGGGGGTCCTGGATTTCCACGCCCTGCTGGATTTCCAAATACCCTCCAAGGCGGTGTTTGAACACCCCCTTCTAACTCGGCTCCTGGCCCATGTAGCGATACGCGGAAGGCGGCGTTCGAAAGAGCGCCAAAAATAATTACGAAATCACTTCGGTCGCTTTTGGTCAGGTCAAAGGTCAGGTTACCAGAGGTCATTGAAGGCAAAATTTCGCCGATTTTCAGGTCGAATGTCGACAATTTCCAAGAAGCCAACGCATAACTCGGGAACCAATAGAGCTACAGCGCCGCGGAAAAGCGCATTCGATAGCCGTATTAACGCCCTTTCTGAGTAATTCTCTCAGATTTAACCTATCTTCAACGGTTTTGCCTGCAGGGAGCAAAAACTGCCAAAATAGCCGATTTTTTCGAAAACAGTTTTTCTGCGATAACATTTGACCCAAGCCTTGCACGAGCTTACTTTTACCGGCATCGTGTTCCTCTCGTCAAGACGCATCGAATGAACTGTAACTTGACCTTGAACAGTCAATTTAAAAATTTGACCTCAGGTCAAGGTCATGACCTGACCGGAAAGGGTCATGTTGCATATCAGTCGATCCGTATCGTTGAGCTGAACACATCCAAGACGTTTTCATCGCTCTAGCACGCCTTTATCAAAAGTTATTCGCGAAAAACTGTTAGATACCATCCGTGACCTGAGATGACCTCAGGGGTATAAACCGGGGTCACGGATACCATTTTCATGTTCAGTGTGTCTTAGTTACTTGTTATTCAGTGTTTGGGAGTGTTTATAATGGCTTTCGTTCAAAAAAGCGCCTTTCAATTTTCTCCCATTGACTTAACCCTCGCATGTGTGCGGCGTTTGCCAGCTTCTAATGTGTAGGGGGGGGGGGGTCGGTTGGACCCCCCCTTGCCGTTTCGCCCCTGATCGAGCTAGAGCTTCGCGGAAAAAACGAGCGTGTTGCCCGTGACGAGAGGAAGCCGATGATACCCAATTTTAAGGTCCTAGGTCATTGGTTGACCTTCCAGGTCAGGTCAATGACCCAAAGTCGGGAAAATCGGGACCTGTTAGAAAGTCGTAAAGTGTGGGTGCTAAGGGGTTTTTCGGGGTGCTGATCACGAATATCGTGTTAGTTTTGATCACAGATGATGTCTTGAAGCATTTAGACCAGGTCGGGTCAGGTCAGGTCAGGTCAACCAGTAGGCGTCGTGACGGGTATTCGTAGTACGTGTCAACCGCCTCTGACAGCTTCGTAACATGTTACGAAGTCACCAAAACTACTTCGTAAATGTTCAAATGGTTGCTAAATTCGAATTCAGCTCCAAAAACTAGCCTAGTAACATGTAAAACTCGAAAAAGTGACCCGAGGTCACCCGAGGTCACCAAAGGTCAATGACCTGACCTGACCCTCAGGTGACCTTGACACAGACGGGAGTAACATCAAATCACATGTTTGAACGTTTGAAACCACGAAAAGCTTGCAAACACGCGGCTAGTGCGAGCCGACATACGCGAAATCGCGATTCCGGCCAAACATGGTCTCGGAAAAGAGGTCACAGGTCAAAGGTCATTTGAGTCAGGGTCATGAAATTTTCAGGGTAGGTGTCAAATTGATCAATGCGAGGGTACTGAAAGTTTCGTCGCGATCGGCCGCTTTTTACGCGAGTTATTCGCGAAAAACCATGGGGGGGGGTCCATCCGACCCCCCCCCCCCCTACACATGCGAGGGTTAAAATGGGGAGGTCGCAAAATTGACCTGACCTTAGGTCATCGATATCAAAATTCTGAGATATACATTTATTTATTTATTTTATTTTATTTATTTATTCATATCGCCGACGGGAGGACCCATTAAAAGACGAAGTCTCACTTTTAAAACGAATAAGTTACATGCATAGGTACAAAGACGACACACTCGGGTAGGTATACATATAATAAAAGACCAATAAATATACGGCCGGTAAAAAAAAAAATAAAAAAAATAGATATAAAAGATAGAAGGTATAAATAAAAATAAGAATAAGAATACTCAATAGAGTGCGATAAGTGACAACAAGGATGACGACAAGATGCCAGTAAAATGCTAGTAAATGAAATGAATGAACCTGCCAGGCAGGCACATCGAATACAGCGAGGCATTTCCATTAGCGTCACATTTCCGCCACAAAATGTCTGACGCTGCTACGGAATGTGAAAATACCGTCGCAGAACACGTCCACCGCGGGAAGTCTCTCTACAAGCCGGTTGAGCTGCCTCGGCAGCCTTGTAAATAAGCCGTTTTTCATTGCGTTCACCCTTGCAAATGGCACATGCAGCAGCGCACTCGCCTGTTGCCTAGTTGCGCGGATAGGCACACTAAGCGAGAACGCCTGCAGCAAGAGTGCGGACTTAATTCTGCCTCTAAGCACGTTGCGAACAAACATGATATCGTGCTGCACCAGCCTGGCAGATACGGAAGTGAGGTTAAAATGTTTCAACAAATCGGCATATGAGATGGAAGTTGAGCGATGATGACAGTTGGCGTTCAGCCACATTAAAAACTTGTGTTCGATCCGGCCAATCCTGTCGAGATGCACTGCGGCGGCTCCACTCCAAATTACACTGCAGTATTCCATGTTGGAACGAACATAGGCGAAGTACATATGATACCATGACAGATGATACATTGAGATTGGGATGTCCTCCCGGGGTAGCCCTTTGATACGATCTGATTAGGACACCCAAAGCACGATTTGTTTTTGATACCATCTGATGAACGTGGGGTCCGAATGTAAGTTTTGTGTCCAAAATAACGCCCAAATCTCGAATTTCGTACACATGTTCCAAAACCGTGCCTCCGATTGAATATGCCGTGACCAGTGGTTTTGTTTTTAGAGTCATTCTGAACGTTTTGCATTTTGATGGGTTTAGCCTGAGATGCCAAGTTTTCGACCACTGGTGCAGACGTTCAAGATCTCCTTGTAAGCTTGTTGCATCTTTTGGACAGGCTATTTTGCGATAAATTTTGGCGTCGTCAGCAAAAAGAAGTACCCGGGAGGACATCCCAACAGACATAATTGTCATAAGGTTTCCCTTTTGTACATACTATTGCTCTTAGGAATCGCTGAAAGTTTCAAAGCGATCGGTCACTCGGTGTAGCTATGGCAGACATTGAAACTTTTTATGAGGTGGTGTCACTTTAAAGGGGCCCTCCCACCTTCAAAAAAGTTAATGAATTGGCACGAAAGTGATGTCGCTCGGTTCAGAAAGAGCGAAAACGAATATCTACCAAATTTCATCGAAAAATATTCACCGGTTTTCAAGATATTAGACTTTTACTTTTGTTTACTTTTTGGGATCTCCGCTGTTCCTAGCGACTTTATTTGAAAGTGCGGCATTTGTTGCGCGCAAAGCAGCATATACCACCGCGTGCTACCAAACGTTTTAGTAAAAGATTTAAAAATCGTTAGATCTCCGCTGACGTCACAAATTCTAAGGGGGCATACCAATGCACTAGCCCCTTAGAATCCGAAAACTGCAAGTTTGAAATTCCATATCTCCGAATTAAAGCATTTGTCGATGTTGTCAGTGCCCAAACCGGTATTTGCAGGCCATGGCCACCAATTTGGCTATCTCAACTCAAAACTAATGTTAAGGTGGGAGTGTCCCTTTAAATGACCTTGGTCTGAATTCTTTACAACATGTGTAGAATTGATGCATGATAAGGTGTGCCGAAAACCACAAGGGGGGGGGTGTTCAAACACCCCCCCCCCCTCCCCCCCCCCAGCAGGGCGCGGGTTAAGCATCCAAAACAAAAACTGAGGTCACCAGACACCAAGTACCTACCAACAGACTCTGCGTCAGCGCGTTGAAACCCCGATAATATGGACCCAACTGTGATGATGTGTTGAGTTACAGCACTGATGCTTGAGATTTTGATGTATTGGAAACTTAGTCTTGACCATCAGTGGGCAAATGGCCCCTTCACAACAATTTTGACTGCGTTTTATCGCCGAGTTTCGAACTTCATGTTGCAGCGCTTAGGCTTCTTTTGTGTGGGCTGATCTAAGGTTTCCCTTTATACATGTTTCCTTTTCATTATCAATTCACCAAACATTGATGGGATGGCCCAGGCCAATACCCTCCAAGGCTCTGGTAAGGTCCAGGTCATACATACATACATACATACATACATATGTACATACATACTATGTGATTCTCCTGACATGTCCATTTGTCTTTGCAGAAATGACGGTCGAAAATATGGAGACAGTCCTGAACCGGCTGCTGGTTGCTGACAATAATGTTATTCAGCAGGTGAGTCTGACATCATATTTTGACAATGCGCACATTGCTATGGTATAATTTCCATTTGAGGTCTAATTCAGGGATTCCCATTGTAACTTGCATGAGTCCAGAATCATTAGGAGGTAGGTAGGACCATAATGGCCCGCTCCCGAAAAGACACCAGTCCACGAGGAAATGAGCTTAAAAACTTACGGCGAGGGGTCATCTGGTGCATCCAAGAGTGATAAGGCAGCAGTCAGCGACTCATCAACAGCACATAACAGCAGTCTTCGACCTGGCCCTGACCTGAGGACAAGGCCCGTTGACGAGAAAAAAGACCCTTCATTCGACATTTCGACCCGGCTGTGCTGTGTTCATGACGAACGTGTTACGTGATGTTGCCAAAGCCCAAAAGCCTAGCCTGTTACCACTTAAAGTTATTGGACAAAAATCGGACTCAGCATTTAGGCCTCACTTTGATAAACGTGAATAGTTGAACTTTGAAGATTCTTCGCCATTATCAAAGTGATTACATTTGGCAAGCTTCGCTGTGCTCGGGCTACTCTACATCACGGCGGGCTTTTGATGGTGGTGCAGGACTGGTCAAAAGACGTATCGCCGTCCAAATCACCTTATTGCTCTTGTTATCACACTAACATAAAAATGGTGCGAGGGAACGTTACAAGGGAAGTTTACATTTATTTCCATAACATCGAACCATGCCTTAACCGTGGTAATCGCGTTTTCCGTTGATCAAAAGGCTATCCTCAGTGCGAGCGCCATTTAGATATAACCGATCAGTATCGCCTCAGTCCTCGCAACTGCCGCAGCTCACCTATGAAATCGAAGATCCAGCCGGACTGTCCAGGGAGCGACGGATCAAGGCGGTAGTGTCCTGGGTCCACGGCCCTCGACGGACCCTGCCGACCACGCCATCGTCGCGTCTCAGAGCACGTCACTAGATTTCCATGTTGTGTCCGGAGGTCGGTCTCTGTGATTTAACGATGTCGTTTGTACGCGTCTCGCCAGGCCACCGAGGAGCTGAAGACGCTGCTGCAGCAGCCGGGCGCTGTGGAACAGCTGTGCGCCGTGCTGGGCACATCCTCCAGTCCGCAGGTTCGCCAGTATGCCGCCGTCATCCTCCGCAAGCGGCTCGCCAAGGCGCGCATGTGGGCCAAGCTGGGCGACCAGTTTCAGAACAGGTAGGTCGACGGAGGGACTAAATTCGGTAGATGTGTCTTGTATCTGGAGTAATGGGAAGAAACTATTTACGATAGGAAGTGTGATTTATAGTATTTCGGAAGGATTCTGGCGAGTTCCTTTGTAGTTCTCGGAAGTGTGTGCTTAATTATGGACAGTGGAGCTTGCACACAGCAATTGCCGCTATGCCTATTTATAACGCTTTCAATGGTGCGTAACGCATACTTCGTGCATTCCTATGCGCCTGTATTCGATTGTCATTTTCTCTAAGCTCGCTCTGCTTCCGCGGCTGGTGTCACTGACTCCCTTCTGACTCTTTTCTGACTCTTCTACGACTCCTATCGACAGGCTGAAGGAGGAGATCCTGCGCGTGCTGGCCGCCGAGCCGGAGCGCTTCATCAAGAGCTCGATCGCCCAGGTGGTGGGAACCATAGCCAAGCACGAGCTGCCGGAACATCGGTGGCCGGCACTGCTCGACTTCCTCTCGCAGACCATGACATCGGAGAGCCTGCAGGATAAGGAGGTGGGTGGAATTTTAATTATCCGTCGTATCGACTCTTGCTGAGTATAGCAGTTTGGCTGCAAAGTACCGACCCCGTGTCTGGGTGATCGTGCTCTAACGGAACCATTCATTTATGTTTTTTTCACGAAAGACTTTTTTCGCGCTTGATTTACATTTAGCCAACTACTCATTACTCCCAGTTTTGATGTTCGACGTGTGTTTTTTTTTTTTCGTTGTACTGCAGCTGGGAATCTACACGCTGAGTATCATCAGTCAGAGCTGCGCCGAGCAGCTGTGTCCGCACGTCGCCACGCTGCTGAACCTGTTCGGTCTGCTGCTGGCCACGCCCAGCCCGGCCGTCCACTACCACGTCATCCTGGCCATGACCAACCTGACGCCCGTCATGAGCAGCGACCAGCTGGTGAGGGGTTGGATGATTGGTTTAACGGTAGGCCGGATGGTGAAACTGCATTTGTTCTTTATTTATTTCGGATGGGTAAGCAAAATATGACGGTCTTATAGTCCCCAGCCGTCCATTGAGCGTCAACCATGTTTGTAAACACCAAACGTCGATCCCGGATTTGATTTTTTACATTGGACGTTTGTCTCCCTAGAAGTGCCAGCAGTCCGTTTATCCATCAGTTGCACTCCCTCTCCACTCTGCCCCGCACGGCTGTAACCTCCGCCCCCCGGCCGGTGTACGCAGACCGGCTTCCAGGCGCTGCTGCCGCCCGTGCTGCGCTCCATCAGCGGCCTGGCCGGGCACGACGAGGACCAGGCGATGGAGGCGCTGGACCTGGTGGACGCCCTGGTGGAGCAGGAGGTGGCCATCCTGGTACCCCACGTGCCGGCCGTGGTCGAGCTGTGCCTCCGACTGGCGGCCGACGCCAATCTGGGCGAGCCGCTGCGCTGCAAGGCGCTCCACTGCATCGACTGGATGACGAGGCTCAAAAAGAAGGTACGGGTGGAAGTGTTAACGGCGGTGCCTAGCTCCTGTGCCATGTTCAGTTCAGTGTATTGAGCCACACAATATGACTGGTTGGCTAGCTCGCATATGGCTAGCTCATGTCATATAATGTGGCTAGGTCGGATGTTGGCTGTTCCGACCTCGCTGCCCGCCATGCTGATCGGTCTCTCCTGTCGTCTGCGGCATCCTTCGCTCAGCGCCCCGCTCACCATGCCCCTCTGCCCCCGTTAGGTGATCACCAAGCACAAGCTGGTGGAGCCGATTCTGTCGGTGGTGATGCCGCTGCTGTGCACCAAGTCTGACGACGATGAGGACGACTCTGAGGTCACGGAGGAGAGTAACACCCTGGTGACGGCCTCCACCCGGCTCATCGACTCGCTGGCCATCAACCTGCCGCCCGAGAAACTGCTGGCGCCGCTGGTGAGCCGACGCGGGTCCTGTGAGCAGGCCACTGCCGCAGCATGATAAGGCGGCCTCCACTCCTCTCACTGCGGACGTTTAATAGTTCGGCACTGCTTGACCAAACGGGAAGGTGGAGAAGGGGCTCTTTCGCAGCTATCAATGAAGTTTTGTATTTACATGTTAAATGATGGTCCGGTGTCATGACAAAAACTGCACAGTTATATTACAGATGTAGCGTGACGATATATGTAATGAAGAGGAAGGACTAGGGAGGTCATTAAGTCTGTCAGGATCTAGTCGATTTTCGGGCCGAGACAATTGTTTGACTCTTCGCTGCTTGTCCAGCGTGTCAAAATGCGTTTTTGCTGAATACCGTTTCGCGTGTTCAGTTGCAGCACGTGCAGCTGCTGCTGGAGAGTAACGACGAGTACCAGCGCAAGGCGGCCTTCCTGGCGCTGGCCATGACCGCCGAGGGGTGCTCGGAGCGCGTGCGCACCAAGTACCTGGCCGGCTGGCTGCAGCACGTCTGCGCCGGCATCCAGCACCCGAGTACAGTGGTGCGCAACGCGGCGCTGTTCGCGCTCGGACAGTTCGCCGAGCATCTGCAGGTGAGTTGACTCCGGGTGATTATCTCCGCCCCGATTATCCATCGCCGATTATCTGATCGTCGCTGTTAGAATGCCGTGCGCTATTTATGTCTCATTGTTCAGTTTGAACCAACGGGTACAATGACTTGGGGCTAATTTCGGGCTGCCTGAGTTGCGTCTGGTACAGGATTGAACTGTGCGATGTCTCGTGTTTCGTACGAAGGAATGCCACGTTCTCTTTTCAAACACCGGTTTCGTGACTCGTTTTCTGTATTTCCTATTTTCTACAGCCGGACATTGCCAAGTACTCGACGGAGCTGATGCCGGTGCTCTTCACCTACCTTGCCTCCATCACCAGCACTCTGCAGTCGGGCGGGAAGGATCCACCAGGTAAGCAGAAGCGCTGCGGGACATGATAACGAGGGGAGCTAAGTCACCGAGTCACCGGCTCGGCCAGTACAGCTGGATTGAATCGGCCGCGTATCCGACCGATCCGGCTAGTCTGCTGGACTGAACGCTCGTTATTTATGTATGTTGTCTCCATGATAGCCTAGTGCGTCGCCCAACAGATGATATTGTATTAATACACCGCCGTTTGAGTATGACTAGCATTCAGTCGCGTACTACCGGCTAGCGGCCAGCTCTGTCGAGTATGCTCGGCCTATCTTCAGAAACTTCATGTGTGGGTTTGTCACTAATCCTCGGTAGAGGCCTGTTAGAATATTCTGCAATCTGCTGCCGGGTCTTATCATTGTCACGTTGTAACTAATCTAACAAGCTTCGGTCCGCGTCGCTTGCCGCCGCTCGGTTCTACCCGCTGTGGCGTGATATGCGCCTTCCAATGCTCAATCTGACCGGCCTCCCTGCCTGTCTCCACAGGCTGCGACCGCATGTTCTACGCGCTGGAGACGTTCTGCGAGACGCTGGGCGAGGACGTGATGCAGTACCTGCCGCCGCTGATGCAGAACCTGCTGCAGCTGCTGCAGCTGCCCGGCGACGGCCACCAGCACGTCCGGGAGCTGGCCATCAGCGCGGTGGGCGCGCTGGGAAACGCCGCCAGGGAGGGCCTGGTGCCCTACTTTGAACCGGTGATGATGGCGCTGCGCCAGTACCTGCTGGCTGAGAGGAGCGGCGAGAACGGAGAGTTGCAGGTGCAGGCGCTCGGTGAGTGACCCGAGCGGGCCCGGCCCGACCCGACCCGACCGGACCCGACCCGACCCGACCCGACCGGACCCGGCCCGACCCGACCCGACCCGACCGGCCCTGGCCCGACCCGGCCCGGCCCGACCCGACCCGACCCGACCCGACCGGACCCGGCCCGACCCGGCCCGACCGGACCCGACCCGACCCGACCCGACCTGACCGGCCCTGGCCCCGTACCCGTCCGACCCTTCCCACGTCCTAGCACTAAGCTTGCATTGTCTGTGAATGAAGTAGGTAGATCCCCAGAGTATCGCAGCGCTTTTGAGTGTTGTGCTAAGCCATGCACTAATCAATGGGCTTAAAATGAAGTGGCGTTCGATATGTCTATCACGCCATGATTTAGTTACGGATTATCTGACTCACGCGGTGTCTTCACTCTTCACCTTTGTACTTATGACTGTTCTATGACACATACCTCATCTGGTATTACTTATCACTGAGTCATGTCCATAAGCCGCACTAGTCCTGTATTTTAGTCTGCAGTGTCCAACCTGTCCGTCTCCACTCACTCCCCGTCCCCTTGCCCCCCCCCCCCCCCCGCGGATACCCTGCCGGTGCTATTCTCCGCCCGATCGGTGCTCACTCCCCCCCCCCCCCCCACAGACACCCTCGGCGTGCTGGCCAAGACGATCGGGCCGGCCACGTTCGGGCCGCTCTGCGGCGAGTCGATGACGCTGGGCATCTCGCTGGTGGAGAAACACGACGATCCAGACATGCGGCGCGCCGCGTACGGCCTGTTCGCCTCCGTCAGCACGGTGATGAAGGAACAGATGCAGAGCTACCTGCCCAAAATCACCGAGTGGATGTGCGAGACGCTGGCCAGCATCGAGGGCGTCACGGTCAGTCGACGACTTTATAGGGATAAACAGGGATTGATTGTGTGATTATATGTTTGGTTGTGTATCGTCTATTCACTGTGGCTCAGGGAATTTGTCGTTTCAAAGTGTTGCGGCTTTCACTGCCAGGAGAGCAACTGACTTTACAGAGGGGATTGTCAGCTGCTCACCCTTCTGCTTCTCATGCATAACACATAATCATTGACACTCTGGCCTTCTACTGAAGTGCCCGGGAGCGGGACCGGTAACACGTGTGAGACCAACGGTGACCTATGTGTGACCTACAGTGCCCCGTGTGTCAATATGTGTTGTCCTCGACAGTTACCCCGTATGTGACCTCCAGTGACCCCGTGTCTCTGTAACCCGTCCACAGCTGCAGTACCGAGACGAGGAGGGCACCGCGCCGGCCGTCCTCGAACTGTTTGAGGACGTCTCGGCCGGCGATGAGGACCTCGAGGACACGGCCGATGAGGACGATGACGATGAGGACGTCACAGGGTGAGCATCGGTTCTATACGGTGTTTTCTCCCCTCCCCCCCCCCCCCTAGCAAATACGCCATCTTACATGGAATATGAGCCCGTCGGGTGTTGTGGACCTTTGGTATTGGTTTTCAGTGTAGTTTTCCACTCAAGCCACCGATTCATGTAATGTTATGAAATTTGCTAATGGTTGACTGTAACGCTTAATTGAATTTCGACAGCAGCTGTGACCTCTCGGCTTGAAATGATTGTTTATTGTTCACTGAAGGATTGAATACCCTTTCCCCACTGCCCTCAAACGGACGAACTGGTAGCCATTTGGGCTGCCATTTAGTAGGCTGTGGGACTTTCTGACCATTCCTCTAACTCCACCTGTAATCCGATCTGCTGCTCTCAGGTACAACGTGGAGAACAGCTACCTGGACGAGAAGGAGGACGCCCTCAACTCCCTGCGCATCCTGGCGGAGGAGTGCGGCCCCGTCTTCCTGCCACACCTGGAGAAGTGTTTCGACGAGACGTACAAGCTGCTCATCCACCCGCAGGACGACATCCGGAAGGCGGCCGTGGACGCGCTGGCTCAGTTCTGCGTGTCGCTGTCGCGCTCAGACGCCGTGGAAGGTGAGGAGGGCCGTCGGGGGTGTGGTGCGCCACTGAGGGATCTCCTATGAGCTCTATGGTTATATGGGAGTCGGGGTATCGGTGAAGGGGCCTTTTGGGGCAGGACGGTGTGCAATGAAATAGTGGTTTATCTGGTGTCCGTGCGCCCCGTTGTTGGCACTGTTCGGTGCTGATTCTCCGACTGTTGGCCAGTTGCCATGACACTTTGTCTAGTCCAGAGACCTCTTTGAATGCTGATGTGAATGGTGTTTTGACCCGATTCGACTAAAAGACCGACTGTTGTGTGTCTTCAGATCCTATTCAATCCGACTGACAGCTGTGTGCCGCCGCAGGTCTGCAGCAGGCGCTCTCCGTGTTCGTGCCCAAGATGCACGAGCTGGTGAAGACAGACGACGAGGCCATCGTGGTGATGTCGGCACTCGATGGGTACGCCGAGGTGCTCAAGGCCGTCGGGCCGCCCGTGCTGAAGGGAGAGGGACACCTCGACGCCATCCTCAACTCGGTTCGCGACGTCATGGCTTACAAGGTGTGCACGCAGTCAGGACCCTGTGCTCTTTGGAGAGCGGCAGGGAAATCGGTGCAGCGCACTGTCGTATGCATCGTGTATAGGTACACGCCTCTGTACGTCTCTGATGTCCTTTGTACGCCTCTGGATGTCTGTCTGGAATCTGGATGATGACGACTTGTCAGGAACAGCGGGAGTCCTCAGTACTCCTTTCTACGTCCTATGTACCCCTCTAATACTCCCTTTTTGCCGCGCCTCCAGACGGCCTGTCAGGACCAGCGGGAGTCGGACGAGGACGACTCCGAGTACGACGAGATGCTGATCGAGTACGCCGGGGACGTGGTGCCCAGCCTGGGTCGCGCCCTGCCCACCCAGCAGTTCATCCAGGTCTTCATGGACCTCTACCCGCAGCTCCTCAACAAAACGGTCAGTGAGGTGACGAGACAGGATCGTTCGGGCCGTGGTAACCCAGACCGGGCCGGGGCATGCGTATTTTGTCATGTAGGTTCTAGTCACGATTTGTGACGCAACAGTTTGCAGTAACATAACCTTTTTGTGGAAGACTGAAGTGACGCAGCAGAACTAGATGTCATTAGACTTTGTGATCCGTATGCTTGTATCCTGATGGACTTGTTTGCGGCAAAGTTGAGGTTCAGTGTTCACCTCTTGTAAGATTTGTTTCCGAACTATGTAACGGAGTTTCTATCTCTCTATCCCTCCCCGCCATCACCTCACTACCCTCACGTTCCGTTCCCGGTTCCCAGAAGCGGACGCGTTCGGACACGGAGCGCTCGTTCGCCGTCGGCTGTCTGGCCGAGTGTCTCGAGTTTCTCGGCGAGGAGGCCGTGCGGCAGCTGTTCGCCCAGCTGCTGGCCATCTTCCTGGCGGCTGCTGGAGATGCCGACTCGGATGACGTTCAGAGTAACGCCGTGTTCGGCCTGGGCGAGCTGGCGGTGAGTAGCTCAGAGGCGCTGTCGTGGTGCGCGGCCCGGCTCTGATCCGACTGACAGGTTCACAGTAGATATGTGTGCTAAAACCACTGCTGGTTCAGTGTGCCTCGAGTTTAACACTCACTTGCTATCGGCAGGCCTGTATACTGCGAACTCCGGCGTTTGACGATACACGATTGGACAGATCAGACTGGTACTGTTTTTGTGATGTTTCGATGACTGCTGTTCCTCTGTGCCCAACTGCCGTCGGTGGCTGGCAGTGGCCCTGACCTGTCTGTCTGTGTGTGTCTGTCAGCGTCGCGCCGGCGGTGAGACGTCCCGCTCCGAGTTCCCGGCCATGCTGTCCGCGCTGTCGGGAGCGCTCGGCTCCACCAAGAAGCACCGGACGCGCGACAACATCTGCGGGGCCGTGGCCCGGCTGATCCTGGTCGACACGGACGCTGTGCCCATGGATCAGGTGTTCCCCGTATTCGTGTCCTGTCTGCCGCTGCGCGAGGATTTCACGGAGAACGAGACGGTGTTCCGGTGTCTGGCGCACCTGTACGGTCGGCGCCACCCGTGTCTGGGCGGCCACATGGCAGAGCTGCTGAGCTGCGCGGCCACCATCCACGCCACGCGGCAGGAGAAGGAGGGAGGTACGTCACACGGGTCATGACACTCGTACTGCGCTTGTACCACACTCGTACAATCCACGCCACGTGCAAGAAGGACGGAGGTTGTCTTTCAGATCATTGCACTGACGCTACAATCGTACTGCACTCCTATGGCCCTCGAAATTAGTATCTTTTATGTAGTCTGAGCTAAATGGGCATATGTGATGATTGATGTCTTTAGTTTAGGCATGGTCCTTGGGGAGAGTTGATAACTTATTTTCCCTCTAAAGGCTGAAACAGACTCTTTCCGCGTTCAGGAAATCGCATGCGAGAGCCTATTCAAATACATTAGTTTCCTCTCGCATCGATCGCACGCATCTCTCGCACTACCCGCATCAGGAAATCGTATCCCCCTGACAGTCTTCCCGCGTCGTCCTGACGCCTCGCTCGCATCGCCCGCATCACCCGCAAGCATCGCCCGCACCTCTCGCTCGCATCGCCCGCAGCGACATCTTTTCGGGATGCGAGAGAGTTGAAGTTCAGTCAACTTTTCCGTGCGGGCGATGCGATTTTGCAGAGGGCAGCACGTCCGCCATCTTGGAATGTAAACAAACTTGACCTTGGCAATTTATATTGGTGGATGCGATTGATGCTAGTGCGTATTTTCCATGTCTTAGGGTCTAATTAGCACTTAATTGGGCATAGGTTAATGCTATTTTCTAAAGACATTCGTAATTCTATAAATTTAGCCGTTATTCGTGCGTCAACATCTGCAAAATGATTGAAAGATCTGCCTGACGGAATCAAGTAGGTACCAGCTACCTACCTCCTCAAAGGCTCAACCCAACCTAGCCAAAAGTAGGTAAGTACCAAAGTAACCCTAGCTATAGATTACCTTCGTGATTAATAAAGATAATAATTACTTGATCTTTTTGATTGCAGGATGAAGTTTCCGTTGTTTTTAGCTACACTAAACTTCAGGAAAATCGCTAGTGCTAACCGTTGCTGGCCTACTTGAAATAGATAAAAAACACCTTCTAGAAAGGGTTTTGCATAGCCTTTGCCGCCTTTTCCGATAAATTCCGCCAAAATGATAATAGAATTGGCCTCAAATTAAGCCATGATTGCACATTAAAGAGCTCTCTTAGTCTCTTGAATCAAAGGCAGGAAACTCATTTCATGTAGGAAGATACGGAGACAATTGACATGAAAACTGGGCTTCTGTCAAAAGAATGGGACGGGTGCTGAGTCTATATTCTATGTCCATCTTCCACCTGCTCCTTCTGGCTTCTTCCCATCCCCTTCTCCGCAAGGTCAGCACCATTTCTTTGTTTTTCTGTCCCCTCTTTCCTCTTTTTGTTTTTTTTTCTCTGATAGCCTTAACAGCATTTTCTTTTTCAATCTCATAAGTTTATGAGTTATTAATACGATTTTTCAGAACGAACATTGTTTCTATTACCGACAAACCTTTCAGATCATGCTGATTGCTGCCTATACTCAAACGCACTTTACCGTGAATGCCATTTCATTGGCGAGTGACCAAACTTTGCTTGATTGGGCAATCGTCTATACTGTCTAACTTGGTACTTATTCGTGATCTTATCAACCTGTGGGTTTCCATTGTTCCAGCACGTTCCAGCACTCGGATAAGCCCACAACCGCTGTCCACAACAGTCCGACTGTCACCACACCGCCAGTTCCGGACGAGTCGGTGCACGGTGGTGACTGCCCAGTGCCCACGACCCCCACGACCCACGTTACTCAGGGACTAACGAGTAGGGAAGCATCCTGGAATCGGAGGGAGGGGCAGTATTCCGCTGGCGATGCTTCTGCGACTGACCCCACGGGGAACGACCAGACTACCATGACAACCGTCAACGCAGACAACGCGAACATCACTACTAGACGCACCTCCTTCATCCAAGCAAACATCACCAGCCTAGCAGCAGCCGTTAAAGGGACCCTCCCACCTTCAAAAAAGTTAATGAATTGGCACGAAAGTGATGTCGCTCGGTTCAGAAAGAGCGAAAACGAATATCTACCAAATTTCATCGAAAAATATTCACCGGTTTTCAAGATATTAGACTTTTACTTTTGTTTACTTTTTGGGATATCCGCTGTTCCTAGCGACTTTATTTGAAAGTGCGGCATTTGTTGCGCGCAAAGCAGCATATACCACCGCGTGCTACCAAACGTTTTAGTAAAAGATTTAAAAATCGTTAGATCTCCGCTGACGTCACAAATTCTAAGGGGGCATACCAATGCACTAGCCCCTTAGAATCCGAAAACTGCAAGTTTGAAATTCCATATCTCCGATTTAAAGCATTTGTCGATGTTGTGAGTGCCCAAACCGGTATTTGCAGGCCATGGCCACCAATTTGGCTATCTCAACTCAAAACTAATGTTAAGGTGGGAGTGTCCCTTTAACCCGCGCCGAGCCGGTGCTCGGCGCCAACCGCGCCGTGCCCGGGGATCTGTGGACACCCACCCCTTCTAGCTCGGCTCTTGGGTAGCATAGGGATATGTGGTTAGTGGCTTTCAAAGGAGCGTCCAAAACCAAGACGATAATATATCGGTCATTTTTTAAAGTCAAGTCGAAGTTCAGGTCCATGATTTTTGACGTTATTTGGAATGCCACTTACCGCTTCGTGGGCCAGGAATCAAGTAAGACGGGTCATGTTCGGTCCCCCAGGGCCCGGCGCTATTGGTGCCGAGCAACGGCCCGGCGCAAGATGTCAGATCTTGTTAGAACAATGCGGTTGAATTTGGACTACAATAAACCGACACATAGTACGATATACGTTTGTAGTTTGCCGTCAAAAGGTGAGGCATTGCATGAAAACAAATTTTCACACAAATTTAGATACCTACTTGTACTTCTTCTACATCGATACCTTGAGTTCCCTCTCGCACGGACAGTGCGATCGATGCGAGAAGTCGATGCGAGAACTGCGGGTGATGCGGACGAGCGAGTCGTGCGAGAAGTGCTTGCGAGACATACGATTTTCAGATCCGAGTCGTGCGAGCGATGCGAGCGAGCGATTGATGCGGAAAGAGTCTGTTTCAGCCTTAACCCTATTCCTGGCGGGCTCCGCCGGGACAAGAAACTGGCGGGGGGGGGGCCGATTCGGCCCCCCCCCCCTGAGATCTCGAGAACGAAGCAAGATAGCGACAAGCGGTAAACGGCATCGGATACGCACGGCCAAGATCTACAATTTTTACTAAGGTCATTTTCAGGTCAGGTCAAAGATGACGTCACAGGGGTCGAAAAAGTCAAAATGGCGGCACTAGATATGGAGAGTTTTTCTCGAATAACTTTCGAATTAGTCAAGATAGGAACAAACTAAGGGCATCATCGTGATCCTCTCGTCAATCCGCATCGAATGATATATATGTTGACCTCGAAAGGTCAAGGTCAAAGGTTGACCTCAGGTCACGTGACCTCGAGGTCATCATGTATATCATTCGATGCGTCTTGACGAGCTGAACACAATGAGACCATCCACGCGTCTGTATCTTGTTCCTGTACGGAGTTATTGGCCAAAAACCTTTGGTGACCTTTGGTGACGTCACATGACCTCACAGCTGCCCAACAGCAAAACAGACCTCAAGGTAGTGAAGGTTGATCGTATATGAAGTCATGTATGGTATATGGGACCATTCCGACCCGTTTTAGTGGTAAAAACAGGGAGTTGATTTTTCCCCCATTGACTTATAATGGGGAGGTCGCGAAATTGACCTGACCTTAGGTCACCGATATCAAAATTCCGAGATAAACAAATTGCACATACTGGTACCCTAACTAAACCCTGAAGAGAAGAAATTGATCGGTCAAAAACTCTAGCTCTGGCGTGATTGCAAACTTTTCTGAGGTAGCGTCACCAAACCACCTCTGGTGACCTGACCTGAGGTCAGATCAACTCAAAATTTTCAGACATGTTGCGTAGAAGCCTTTTAGTAAAAGTCAGAAAATTTGAGCTTCCTAGCTCAACGCGTTTGGGAGATATAACCAAAAAACCTCAGGGGGGGGGCTCCTGAGGCCCCCCCCCCCCCCCCCCCCCGCCAGGAATAGGGTTAAAGGGCAGATGTCGTGCTCTCTCAGCACATCATTAGAAGAAGAAATGTTTACATTTGAGAATTTGCATGTTTCAGTGAAAGCTGCGATAGTACAAAGAAAGCAAAATGCCTGCAACGGGAACCCAGAACGCTTATGGAGTGGTGGGCTACTTTCGTGACCATAAATTAATGGCTCGACGCACGCCAGCCGTGTTGAAACGTTACATAACCGACCACCGACAACCTGCTGTGCTCATTGACCGCGTGTTGTGATCGCCGCTGAGACTGGAGAGGAGACGTAATATGACCGCCGTCCGTCCCCGCCCGCAGAGACGGCCACTCTGGTGCGCGAGTTCGTGCTGAGTGTTCGCCGCGACTTCCCCGACCAGTACTCGGGCCTGGTGCCCACGCTGCCGGCCGAGTTGCAGAACAAGCTGGCCGCCATCAGCTGATGGCCGCGGCCGACTGGTCACCGACAGTGCCCCCACCAGACCGCCGCTAACACCGCCGCGCCAGCGGTAACCGAATCAACTGAAACGGAGCCACGACGAGCCGCGCCCGGACAGAGTTTGTGAGTGCTGCCGCCGTGTCTCCGTACTCTATGAATGGGTACACGGGCGCGACGGTGTCTGTGATCCTGATCTGATCAGTTTCCTACGCAGATGAGTTCACATCGGATAAAAGGGTAGGTATACATAACGTATAGTATTCACACGCCCGCTAAACAGTGACCACATCTGCTCGGATCCGTGTCCGGTCGTGTAACATGCCTACTAAGCAAGAAAAAGTTATGTTTCACTTTTCTGGGGACTAGTCTAACGGGCTGCAGCCTATGCGTCACACTTGTTTTCGTGTGACTGTTGTCTGGTGCGTGTTTGTTTTGGGGAGGAGGGGGCAGAAGTGTTACCAAGCGGAATAGTCACGGGCCCAGGCCAGCGGCGGAGGCCCGGTCACTGCCGGAGTCCCCGATACGGGCCGTGGGAGCCGCGTCCTCGGATATACGGGCGTTGCTGAGCGTTTTGATGGCGCATTTGATAGTTTTACATTTTATGGCGGTGCGAAATGCGCGCCGCTGATTTGTCAATAAACGACAGTGTTGCTATCGGCTGCTCTGGTGATGGGATTGATAGGGTGGCAATATGGGTGCAGTCCCTCGGGCGTTCAGGCTTAACTCTGGCCCGTATTGGCGCTTTCACAGCCTCTAACGTGTAGGGGAGGGGAGTCGATAGGGCTAAAACTTCGCGGAAAAACGAGCGTATTGCTCGTGAAGAGAGAAAGTCGATTCTACCCAGTTGAAAGGTGGAACTGTTGAACCCGGGTCAGGAGCAGATTGATGTCTAAGATGTCCGGAAATGATGAGGATCTGATGGATTTGTTTCTTCCTGTGTCCCCAACAGTATTATTGCCAAATTCCCTGCTAACAATGCTCCTCTCCCCCCCCCCCCCGCTGTAAGCTACGTTTGCGAGAGCATACCCCGCTCCAGGTAGCTCAGGTGGGGACGTGTCCAGGGACCGGGCGGCGCATGTCCGTCAAGGCTGCCCATATTCGTCCCAGATTCAGCCCAGGTTCGGTACGTCTCAGATCCATTTGAGACTTGCTTTACATAGACCTTCAGTTGTGGAATACGTGCCCCAAATCATTCGGTATCACTCCTAGCCGTTTGCCTTACAGGGGTCAGCAAGGTGACCCCCAAATTTGCACAGAAGATTGTGCCCATCCGACTGAAAATGGCGCTACGTGGTTTGCCAGGACCTGGACCTACTGTTTCACTAGCGATTTTACCCATTAGAAGTCACGAGATGGCCTTAGGTCATTTACGGGTTAGTTTAGTTAGAAGCAAAAAAAAAAACTTCATGTGTTCCTAAATATACGCATAAGAATAATTGCCATCAAAAGCAGTTGCGATCAATTCGGTAGCCCATAGACCGTACCTACCTAACAATTGTCATCGCAAACCGTTAGTTAGTACGTGGCCTCGTTTGACCTGGGCAGCGTGAAACGTTCGAAAATTCGATGCGCTAGGCCTCAATCCAGGTTCGAACCAAATTGGGAACGCCTCGATTGAAACTTCACCCCTACCGGCGAAGAGGGGGGGGGGGGGGCATATGGTTTTTCACGATAGCTCGAAACACATCAGCGATAACGAGCTTAAGCTTGGCATGCCTGAGTTTAGACTCGAGCCTGATCTTGCGACACCAACTGCGTTTTCAGGTTAGGTCAGGTCACTGAAATAGACGTCCTAAGTGAACGTCCGGCCTCTGAACGGTCCTAAAATATAGCAACTTCGCAACGCCCTCGGTAGCAGATGAGCTTTCATATGGAGATCCTCAAACTAACAGGCAGGACCGGACCTAGTTAGTATCCTTCAGAGGTCTCACAACTTGTATATCTCGGATTATGCCAAAGGGTCAACCGAGGGTAGGTCGTTCACGTGACCTCACTATTATACATAAGTCAATGGGGGAAATATTGAAACCCATTTTGGCGCCGGGAATGATATGACTATCTCAAGCACATGGAAATGCGCTTGCCATCGGACCTCTTTGCAAGGTCCGATGTTGCGCTTTTGCATCGTTGACCCTGTATGACGTCATTTATGACATCACTAAGGAGCTTTTTCCATAAATCCCGATCAAATTCGGCTAGCGAGTAGGGAATGGAATCAATTGACTCGAGGAAAGCCTGCCGAATCGGATGATCATGTCTTCCTTCGACCAACTTTATTACCGGAGTGGCTTTGACCTGACCTTGACCCGAGTTCAACCAAATAAAAAGCATAGGTACCAACTACCTACCATACGGCACACCTGAGCACAAGGGCGCACACAAGGGGGGGGGGGCACACGGGCCCGTGCCCCCCCCCCCCCCCATTCGAGTTGGGGGGCCCAGCTCGAAGGAACAGGGGCCCATTTGAGGCGGCCGAAGGCCGCCTCAAATGGGCCTCTAACTAATCCTTAGACCACCGAAGACCGTGTACAAAGGGCCCTCAGATGGTCTCAAAAGGCCCTCAGATGGCCTCGAAGGGCCCTCAGATGACCTCAAAGGGCCCTCAGTTAGCGTCATAGGACCCTCCCTCATCTGGTGTCAAAGGGCCCTTAGATGGTGTCAAAGGGCCCTCAGATGGCCTCGAAGGGCCCCAGATGGCCTTAAGGGGCCCTCAGATGTCCTCAAATGGCTCTCAGATGGATGGCCTAAAAGGGCCCTCAGATGGCCTCAAAGGGCCCTCAACTAACGTCAAACGGACGTCAGAAGGCCTTAAAGGGTGTGAAAGGTCCCTGAGCTGGCGTCAGAGGGCCATGCCCTTGCGTCAAACGGCTCTCCAAAGGCCCTAAAGGGTCCTTAGCTGGTGTCAGAGGGCCCCTAGCTGGTGCCAGATGGCCCTCAGCTGGCGCCAAATGGCCATCAGAAGGCCCCAAACGGTCCTCAGCTGGAGTCCAACGGTCCTCAGCTGGCGTCAAGCGGCCCTCAAAAAGCCTCAAGGGGCCCTTAGAAAGCCTCAAGGGCCCTTAGAAGACCTCAAGAGGCCCTCAGAAGGCCTTAAAGAGCGTCAAAGGGCCTTGAGCTGGCGGCAGAGGGCCCCCCAGCTGATGTCAGAGGGCCCTGAGCTAGCGTCAAACTTAAAGTGCCCTTAGCTGGTGTCAGGGGGCCCCAGTTGGTGTCAGAGGGTCATCCATTGGCGTCTAATGGCCATCAGAAGGCCCAAAAACGGTCCTCAGCTGGCGTCCAACGGTCCTCAGCTGACGTCAAGAGGCCCTCAAAAGGCCTCAAAGGCCCCTCGACTGCTCAAAGAGTCCTTAGAAGGCCTCAATGGGAACTCGAGAGACGTTAAACGGCCCTCAAAAGGCTTGAAAGGGCCCTCTGCTGATGGCAAAGGGCTCGCACCTGAGTCAATAAGAGCCTTGTCAAAAGCGGACCTGAGAAACCTTGCCGCCCCTGGTTATCTGCGGGACTCCTACAGTTACCTGAGTGGCCCCCGTTTACTGAGGGGCCCTGGTTATTGATGGGGTCTCTGGTTACTTGAGGGGCGCCTGGTTACCAGAGGGGCCCATGGTCACCTGGTGGGCCCCTGATCAATTGAAAACCCCTGGTCATCTGAAACGCCCCTGATTACCTAAAGGGTCCCTGATCACTTGGATTCAGTGACATAGCAAGGGAGCGAGGGGTACGTGCCCGTTCTCGGGTTTAGGGTTCCTTCGAAACCGAGGGGCCCTGCGGCGCCAGTTGGTAGCAGAGGGTTCGCGCTGGCCGCACTTCAACTCGGAAGGACACCACAGGGCTTGTGGAGGGGGGGGGGGGGGGGGCGTTATTGGCTCCTATATAGCCACAATTATCTTCATAAAGGCCCAATGCCGGTTTCTGAGAGACCTCGCCGGCCGCTCAGGGCCCTAGTAACGGGCAACGGCCAACGAGGGATGGGCTGCTATGGCTCCACATCCGTCTGTGATAAACAAACGGCCCACACCAGTGTTTCTAAAGGCACCCACAACGGCAACTGCGAGGCCCTCGCGCCACCTCCAAGGGACCCCCACCAGAGCATCTTAAGGGCCTACATCGGCGGCTCTGAGAGTCCCCACACCGACGCCTCTGAGGGCCACGTACCAGTGACTCTGAGGGCCTCTTACCAGCCTCTGAGTGTCCTTGCCAGCCTATGAAGGGCCACTTTCCACTTGCAGGCCATTTTGCAGGGCCACACACATGCCAATGATGGCCCCACCAGTGTCTCTAAACCCTAAGACCCCGCAACGGCGCCTGTGAGGACCCAACACCAGCGCATCTGACGGCCTTTCACTGGCACCTCTGAGCGCGCCACACACCGGTGACTCTGAGGAGCTCGCTCGCTCGTGAAATACCATGTACATTAGGCATTAGTGTACATCAGGCACACTCCTCGGGCATAAATGATCCTTTTACGTGCCAATTTTCCACATTTTCTCATGCAAAGACCGTTTTAAAGAGACCCGTCTGCCAGTGAGACTGGACCCACCGTGCTTCCCTCCTCCCATCGAAAGGTCCTGGATACATCCTTGCCTGCGCTGACCCCGGGCCCCCGGGTGACTCGCGGGCCCGGGGTCAGGGCACCAGCAGGTGACCCCCTCTTGGGCGAAATTCTGGGTACGTGTCCGACATGCATCGTACATAGTCCTGTTGATTTGATTCATCGGTTAAACATTAAATATATGTTATAAGCTGGATCTCTAGTCTGTAATCCCGCATCGTATCAGATCAGATATAATGACATTTCATGTCGATGTGCCTAAAAGATATGCGAATATACGTGAAAAGGGAGTGCTTCTCCCGCTCCTAACATCCGGGCCAAACAGTGACCGGCCCCTGCTTCTAGCCACCCGGGGCCGGTCGGCCGGCCGGCAGTCAGTCGCTGCCCGGGGCTGATTTCTGAGGGACTTGCAAAAATGTTTATTAATGAAATGTTTTACGTAATAAATTAGTTGATTAGATATATGTACCGGCTCTGAGTCGCATTTGAGAAAAAAAAAACATGCTAGCGTAAAAATATATATGTTTTGAAAATTAAGCTGGTACCGAAATAATTGTTTTACCATGCATTGACAAACCAATTGCTCAAGCTTCAAACCAACCGAAATATAACCCCGTGGCCCGTATTTTTTTCGGGGGGGGGCCCTTCGGCATGGGGGGCCCAGTTCGAAGGTCGTGCCCCCCCCCCCCCCATTCAAAAATCCTGTGTGCGCGCCTGCCTGAGCATGACGAATACGATCACGATGGTGTCAAAATCGCGACTCTGCGACCATTTTTTTGCGAAGTTATAAAAAACGAACCCGTGCTTTGGGACACGACCTATACCTAACCTAAATGTCATCGGTTGACTTGAGACCTTAAAATCGGATACCATTTGCTGCGTCTCGTAATGGTGCACACTCAAGGGTGTCCCAAAATTCACAAAGTTTTCCAATTCACTTAGGATACATCGGGATCCCGTTCCTTGGTTCATTTGAACCTCACACACCAATTTATAGAGTAAACTACCGGTGAACAAGGTTGCCGCTAGTGCTCTGAAGTTTTATTTGCATTTTGGTGTTATATGATAGTGCAGCGTTGTAGTCTCCGAATGCAAAATGGGAAATATGTGTAAGCAGCGTAGCAATATTACCTTCTTCGATGCTCAGTGATGCTCAGATCCCACGCACATTGCACAATGATGAAAATCCGGGTTTATGTACGCATACATACGTGTGAAACTGTGTGTGTGCGTGCCCGTATGCCTCTGTGCGTGTGTGTATGTGTGTGTTTGTGTGTGTGCGCGCGCGACTGCGTGCGTGCCTACCGGATAGAAGGCAATGCCAGTTTTAATCTTGGTGTGGGTGATTTCATGTGCCGCTGATTTCGTTTGGGAGTAAGCGATCAAATAAAGGTCTCAGGTTAGTGCTTCAAATGTCTCGCTTCAGATCGAACCGTCTGCGGCAATGGCACACCACATAAACGCAGATTGAACAGAATCAAATTTACATTGCAGCTATGGGTATTAAGTTCACCGTACCCTGTCCTGAGACCGTCCACGCGTAACATCACCGTACCCTGCTCCGAGATCCGTCTAAACAAACATAATGCCTTGCTCTGAAAACCGTCTGAAACATCGTACCCTATTCTGAGCTGCTTCTAAAACATCGAACCCCATTCTGAGATCCGTCTTAAACATCGTACACTGCTCTGATGTCCATTTACACTCAACGGTCTACACGTAACGTCATCGCACCCTGTTAAATATCTGTCTACCACTACAGACCCATGTAACGTCCTTCTTCGTGTGACCGTAAAGCGACCTGTGCCATGCCACCACCTGGGCCAGCGCCTGCAGCTGGTCCTCATCTTTCGTTCTGTCCATCATCTCCTGTGCCAGCTTCACTCCGCGATCCGCTCCATCATTCACAACTGCCAGGCTGTTGACGTATTTGTGCTGCGTTGTAACCTACAGGGTAAGATACTTTTCCATTTTTGACAGGCTCTTGCAACCATTCGAGGGCGCACTCATCCAGATTCTGGATTAGTGCGCTCTCGAATGGTTGCAAAAGCCTGTCAAAAAAATGCAAAAGTATCTCAGGTTACAACGCAGTTCACAAATACGTCAACAGCCTGGCAGTTGTGAATGATGGAGCGGATCGCGGAGTGAAGCTGGCACAGGAGATGATGGACAGAATGAAAGATGAGGACCAGCTGCAGGCGCTGGCCCAGGTGGTGGCATGGCACAGGTCGCTTTACGGTCACACGAAGAAGGACCACGTGGGTCTGTAGTGGTAGACAGATATTATAGCAAGGTGCGATGACGTTATGTGTAGACTGTAAAGAGTATATGGGCCTTAGAACAGTATAAGATGTTTTAGACGGACCTCAGAGCAGTATACGATGGACGGATCTCAGAATAGGATACGATGTTTTAGACGAATCTCAGAGCAGGGTACGATATTTTAGACTGATCTCATAGCCGGGCACGATACTGTTGACGGATCTCAGAGCAGTGTATGATGTTTAAGACGGATCTCAGAATGGGGTACGATGTTTTAGTCGCATCTCAGAATAGGGTACTGTTCCAGATATTATTCCTTTCTTCAGTCTATTCAATATTCAAAATCACAATATATCACTTCCTGTATTCCATTTTTCATGTCACTCCCAAGTCCCCCCTCGAACCCAGATTTTATCCAAAAACAATCACAATATTTGCGGGAGACATTGCACTGCTCGGCACCTCCATGTTGAGGTCATTTTATAATTGCTAGCAGAACACCGCAAATACACAACATACTCCCCGGGGTGGAAGTCAAGACAATAGTAACACATAAATCATAATAGTACACAATGACGAGAGCATAGGAGCACGAGCACCCATGCCCCTTCCTGGTGGATTGACTTTCACCATTTGCGCTCACTCAGACCTCTGGAGACGTCTGGCTGGCTGATGCGGCCTCCAAGAGATACAGCTTCTGTATGGGCCGCCTTACGATACCACGCCCAGTGCGCACCGAGGCAGCACGGGATCGTCCATCCCGTCCAGGATGCACGGCACAGATCACGCCAGTTGTCCAGGTCAGGCGATTGGGAGAGGTCTCGCCTTCGATCAGCACGAGATCGCCTGATGTGGGTGCTAGCTCCACTTCAGGTCGGTGCTGATCTCTGAGGTGCCTCAGATATTCACGCTGCCAGCGATTCCACAGGGATTCCATGACTCGGCTCTGGTAACGGCGGCGGCGTGTCAGGCGCTGGGCTTCGCTCTCCCGGACGGGACTCGGACCAGATTCCAGAGAGCAGTGAAGGAAGTCTGACGGTCTCAGCGGTCGCAGGTCATCCGGGTCATCACTGACTTGAGTGAGAGGACGTTCATTGATGGCCCCCTCCACGGAACAGAGCACTGTCTCTAGCTCCTCCCATGAGAGAAGTGCTGCACCAAGTGTGCGGCGCAGCGCGTGCTTCGTAAGTTTCACCATCGACTCCCAGAAGCCGCCCCACCATGGAGCCCGCTCCACGATGAAGCTCCAAGAAACTCCCTCCGTGGCCAGGACGGCAGAGGCGGCCTGGAAGTAGGTGGCGTTGTCGCTGATAATGCTGGTCGGACTGAGTCTGCGAGCGGCAAAACGACGGTAGGCGCGGAGGAAGTCTTCCGTCCGCAGGGAACCCACCAGCTCCAGATGCAGGGCGCGCGTGACGGCAAGATACAGCTTCTGTATGGGCCGCCTTACGATACCACGCCCAGTGCGCACCGAGGCAGCACGGGATCGTCCATCCCGTCCAGGATGCACGGCACAGATCACGCCAGTTGTCCAGGTCAGGCGATTGGGAGAGGTCTCGCCTTCGATCAGCACGAGATCGCCTGATGTGGGTGCTAGCTCCACTTCAGGTCGGTGCTGATCTCTGAGGTGCCTCAGATATTCACGCTGCCAGCGATTCCACAGGGATTCCATGACTCGGCTCTGGTAACGGCGGCGGCGTGTCAGGCGCTGGGCTTCGCTCTCCCGGACGGGACTCGGACCAGATTCCAGAGAGCAGTGAAGGAAGTCTGACGGTCTCAGCGGTCGCAGGTCATCCGGGTCATCACTGACTTGAGTGAGAGGACGTTCATTGATGGCCCCCTCCACGGAACAGAGCACTGTCTCTAGCTCCTCCCATGAGAGAAGTGCTGCACCAAGTGTGCGGCGCAGCGCGTGCTTCGTAAGTTTCACCATCGACTCCCAGAAGCCGCCCCACCATGGAGCCCGCTCCACGATGAAGCTCCAAGAAACTCCCTCCGTGGCCAGGACGGCAGAGGCGGCCTGGAAGTAGGTGGCGTTGTCGCTGATAATGCTGGTCGGACTGAGTCTGCGAGCGGCAAAACGACGGTAGGCGCGGAGGAAGTCTTCCGTCCGCAGGGAACCCACCAGCTCCAGATGCAGGGCGCGCGTGACGGCACAGGTGAAAACCGCTATGTAGACCTTCTCGGGCTCGGATCCAAACGGCCGCTTCACATATAGCGGCCCAGCGTAGTCGATGCCAGTGCAGCTGAAGGGTCGAGCGGCTGTCACCCGGCTCCGAGGCAGAGGAGCCGGTCTCATGGCGAACGGTTGGGCTCGGAACAAGTGGCATTTGCGGCACTGGTTCAGGGAGGCGCGCACGGTTTGCCGCCCCCGGGTGATCCAATAGCGATCTCTGATGGCATCCACAACTTGCTGAACTCCAGCGTGACAGAGTTCTTCGTGGATCTTCATAGCCAGGAGATAAACCAGCCGGTGACCAGGCGGGAGAATCACCGGTCGTATCTCCTCTTCTGAGAGACTGGAATACTGAAGTCGTCCATCCTTTCTCAGTATGCCCTCTTCTAGCACGGGGTTGAGAGCCTTCAAGCTCGACTGACGCGGCAGGTCAAGACCCGCTTGGAGGGCATCCAGGTCTTGGCCGTACTCGGTTCGTTGGGCGTCCATGACCCACAGACGCTCAGCGGTGCTGATTTCACTTGTCGACAAAGGACCGCTGAGGCTTGTCGCCAAGCTGCGGCCTCGAGCCCATCTTAGCACCCAGGCGGTGATCCTTATCAGCTTCCTCCAGCTGCTGTAGCGGTTGATGTCCATCACTTGTCCGATCCCAGTGGATCTGGCGCGAGTTCCTACCGTTGTGAGCGCCATCTTCTTTGCTTCCACTGTACATTCGGCTGGCTCGTTGCTTGTCGGAGTCTGCGGAGGCCAGACTGAATTGTCGCCTTCCAGCCACTCTGGGCCATGCAGCCAGAGGCTGCTCCTCAGCTGCGCCGCCGGTACTCCTTTGGATGGCAGATCAGCAGGATTCTGATTGCCCGGGACATGCTTCCACAAGGTCGGCGGGCAGAGGCTCTGGATCTCGTTGATTCTGTTTCGCACGTATACTCCCCACCGCTGGGAATTGCTTCTAATCCAGTGAAGCGCTACCATCGAGTCAGTCCAGCAGCCGCTGATTTCGGTGGTGATGTCTAGTTGACTTTGCACGTAGGTGACTAACCGGGCACCGATCACGGCCGCTGTCAGCTCGAGACGAGGCACTGACATGGCTTGGCGTGGGGTGAGACGGGCCTTAGCCATCACCAGAGTGGGCGCGCGTGAGTTGTCTTCCGGTTTGACGTACACAGCTGCTGCCATGGCCTCCATACTCGCGTCGCAGAACATGTGTAGCTGATAGCCGCAGTCCCCGCCGGTCGCGTAGGGACGTGGGATGCTGAAACCGTCGATCTGCTCCAGCTCCAGAAGCCACTTTCTCCAGTCCTTGCGCACGTCACTGGCTACCGTCTGATCCCAGGAATGGCCAGCGATCCATAATCTCTTCAGCAGCAGCTTCGCTCGAACCAGAAAGGGAACAAGAAGGCCAAGCGGGTCGTAAAAGCGCGCTGAGACGCTTAGAATGTTACGCTTCGTTTCCGGTGCTTCTCGACCGAGCTGCGTCAGAAAGGCAGTTTTGAACACCAGCTGATCGTCCCCTGGGATCCAGCAGATTCCCAGCACTTTACGCTCAGCTGTTGCCTCCTCGCCAAGAGGCTTGTGTGCCTCCTTGTCCGTCTCGAAGCTGTAGGTCCAGTGTCTCATATTCATCTTGGCATCATTGAAGATCTCTTGGGTCCGCTGTGACAGCTCTTCAGCCTCTTCCTGTGTATTCACGCTGGTGATTAAATCATCGCAGTATAGGTCGCGCCGCAGGCGAGCGACCAGCTGTCCGTCTGCCTCCTCATACTGCTGCAGATGTTGACGTACGCTTGCCTGAAGCAGGAATGGCGAAGCGGTCACTCCGAACACCACACGCGTCATGCGGTAGGTGGTGGGGCGGAGATCGGAGGCATCCTTCCTCCACAGGAACCTCGTGACATCCCGGTCATCAGGATGTAGAGCCAGCTGAAGGAATGCCTTCTCAATATCAGCGGTGACTCCGATCCTTCTCGTTCGAAATCGGAGCAGCACTCCGGTAAGGTCAGCAATCATGTTTGGACCAGAGAGGACGTGATCGTTCAGCGAGTTGGGATGGCCAGCGGCAGCGTCAAAGACAATCCTGATCTTGTCTCCCTTGAAGACTGCATGGTGCGGGAGTAGATGCACCTTCCCAGTGGGGATCTGGGGTGCCTCTTCAGCGTGACCTTGATCGATGTAGTCTTGGATTGCATTGTCATATTGCCTCAGTTTTCCAGTCTTCCTCAGGCTCCGCTCGCACGCCTCCAGGCGAGAGAGCGCCATGGCTTCGTTTGAGGGGAGGTCCCCGGTGTCATGTTTCCATGGCCAACGGTTCTGATAGCGCCCGTCAGGAAGGCGAGTGCAGGTTTCATTGAACTGCTGCAGGGCAGCGGCTTCCTGCGTTTTCTTCACGCTGCCATCTCCTACACCATCACTGCTGATCCCGATGCCTTCCAGCGTCCACAAGTCATCCAGCGTCGCCTTCACCGACTCCGTCTCCGTGTGCACGAAGTTGGCCATCATCTCTTGTGGGGCTGGAGTGGCGCAGCCTGACCGCCCGCATACGATCCAGCCAAACCGCGAGCTGATCGCCATTGGCCCGGACTGACCGACGCGCATGTCACCGTCAAAAACGTCCTGCAGGACGTCCTGGCCGAGGAGAATCTCAATTTCACCACCACTGGCCAGCGCAGCACCTGGTTCCTCCGCCAGCTTCAGACCTCTCAGGTGTTCATGAAGCTGTATTTCTTCTATGCCGATGACAGGCGGAGGGCCACATATATTGGGAATCTTGTAGGCCTCGACACGTAGCAGTGACCCATCCTGTGTGGTCAGTCCCACTTCCACCTTCTCACTCAGCTGATGCGACGCCTTTCCTCCTCCGAATGTGCTCACCTGGAGCGGTTGTCTTGTCTGAATCCGACAGCCCAGCATGTGTGCTGTGTCAGATCTGATGAAGGTGGCGTTGCTGCCTGAGTCACACATGACTCGCACGCGGCACGTGCTCTTCAGTCCAGATGCCTCCACTTTGGCCGTCTGCATGAGCACGACACGGTCAGGTTCGGTGGCTGTGCGACTGGCCGCCGTCACCGTGGCTGATTGAGCGGGTGACGTGCCGCTGCTCGACTGGCTGCCCCTCGCTGCTGCTGGCACAGACGACCGGTCGCATAGCAGGGGATTGTGCTTGCCATTACAGATCGAGCAGCGCGCCAGGCCCTGGCGGCAGTCAACTGCTCGGTGAGAGGCCGGCTTCAGGCACCAGAAGCACCCCGCTCGGCGCATCAAGCGCTCTCGTCGCTCAGCCGGCGTGAGGTCCCGCGTCTTCCTACACTCTTCCGATGGATAAGGGTACCCACAAAAGACGCAACCATCTTGGACCGCCGTCGGTAGCGCAGTTGCTGAACCGTAAGCCTGTGGAGAGGGCGAGGAGGATGAATCACCACTGGCGTTGGCGCGTCTGGGCCAGTTGTAAAGCGAGCGGCCGTGAGCTTCTAAGAATTTTGAAGCCTGCTCACCCAAATCTTTCAGGTCATAGTCAACGCGCTCGCGTAGATGCGTCTGCAGTTGTTTCGGACATGCTTCCATAAACTGTTCATACACAACTAGGTCTTCTAAATCCTCGCCAGCCAAGCTCACCCAACGGCGCAGGTAGCCCGTCAGCCGCTCCAGATATTGAGGTGGGCTCTCATCCGGCTCGGGTCCGCTCTCTCGGAGCTTACGGCGGTAGCCCTCCGCCGTCAAACCGTAGCGCTGTAGCAGGGCTTCCTTTACTTGCTGGTAGTCATTTGCATCACGCTCGCTTAGCCGAGAATACACGTTGAGAGCCCTCCCGGTCAGAAGAGCACTCAAGTTAGTGGCCCATTCCTCTCTGGCCCACCCGCACCGAGCTGCTGTCCTCTCGAACCGCGCCAGGTAGGCGTCCAAATCGTCCTTGCCATCCACGAACGCAGGTAACTTGGGCTTCTTGGCCGACGCCGCCTGTTGTTCTGTTGAACTCGCTCTCTCCGCTCGGATGCGCTCCAGCTCTAGCTCATGCTGTCTCTCTTTTTCTCTCTCTTCTCTGGCCGTAACTTCAAATTGTCTCTCTTTTTCTCTCTCTCTTCTCTGGCTGCGATTCTCTCCGCTCTTTCGTCCGCCTTCTCCTTCTGTTCAGTGGCATACGCCAAGGCTTCTGATCCACTCAATCCACACCTTTCTGCCAATTGTATATACTCCTCCATCGTGTCCTGTCACGGTCACCAAATGTTCCAGATATTATTCCTTTCTTCAGTCTATTCAATATTCAAAATCACAATATATCACTTCCTGTATTCCATTTTTCATGTCACTCCCAAGTCCCCCCTCGAACCCAGATTTTATCCAAAAACAATCACAATATTTGCGGGAGACATTGCACTGCTCGGCACCTCCATGCTGAGGTCATTTTATAATTGCTAGCAGAACACCGCAAATACACAACAGGTACGATGTTTCAGACGGTTTTCAGAGCAAGGCATGATGTTTGTTTAGACGGATCTCGGAGCAGGGTAGGTACGGTGATTTTACGCTTGGACGGTCTCAGGACAGGGTACGGTGAACTTAATACCCATAGCTGCAATGTAAATTTGATTCTGTTCAATCTGCGTTTATGTGGTGTGCCATTGCCGCAGACGGTTCGATCTGAAGCGAGACATTTGAAGCACTAACCTGAGACCTTTATTTGATCGCTTACTCCTAAACGAAATCAGCGGCACATGAAATCACCCACACCAAGATTAAAACTGGCATTGCCTTCTATCCGGTAGGCACGCACACAGTCGCGCGCGCACACACACAAACACACATATACACACACGCACAGAGGCATACGGGCACGCACACACACAGTTTCACACGTATGTATGCGTACATAAACCCGGATTTTCATCATTGTGCAATGTGCGTGGGATCTGAGCATCACTGAGCATCGAAGAAATATTGCTATGCTGCTTACACATATTTCCCATTTTGCATTCGGAGACTACAACGCTGCACTATCATATAACACCAAAATGCAAATAAAACTTCAGAGCACTATAGCGGCAACCTTGTTTACCGGTAGTTTACTCTATAAATTGGTGTGTGAGGTTCAAATGAACCAAGGAACGGGATCCTGGTGTATCCTAAGTGAATTGGAAAACTTCGTGAAATTTGGGACACCCTAGGCCACTGCACAGTGTATACATACATACCGGCTAATATAAACGTTTTTTATGCTTGCTGATGACCAGGACAGTGACTTTGGGTTACATATAATCATGACCATCGGATTCGACGTGAAAAATAAGCCATAAAACATGTGTCGCATGCCCATGTAGCAGAAAGTGAAAACCGTGACCTTTCGTGTCCTGACCTGACCTTGACCCGTGCTTAGTATAACCCTTATACGCACATGATATCTTCACTAGGCCTTTGACGTCATTTTTGGTGAGTTTCGAGCGGGAACTATCGATTCCGCTCTCCATGGCCCAATCTTATAAACGCCGTGAAATGGATATGGCAGCACTCTAAGGCTGGATATATAGTAGGTACGCAATCTTATAAAACTCTGTGAAATCGAAAACACGGCACGCTCTTTACGGTATTGGTAGCCGCCGGTTTTGAGGATGCTGTAGAATGATTTTAACCGTGAGCAGCGTGCACATCTCAAAACACCGACAATCATCAGCTGTTTGCGGTTTCAGCGGCGTCCATTTCACGCCAGAATTTGTGGCGTACTTTGGCGAGCTTCTCAGACAGACTAATTGATTTAAGATAAATTCCATGTTTTTATGATATAAGTATGCAATATTTTACATTATGATAATTTTAAGATTAAAACATCCTCTACATATTAACTCATGATTTATTATAATGATGCTTATTATACAGACAACAATCAATTTCAAAATATGTATTTCCAGGAACTAAATGCACACTAAACACATAAAAACGAGTGTTCATGTCACTTCATCGTTATATGACTTTATTTTTCAAATTAAAAGGGGATTTTTAAGAGGATTTTAGCACCAGTAACCGTCTTAGAATTTCGGCAGCCACTGTATTAGGGGAGAGCGGGGCCA